TCAAAGGCTATTTGAATGGCCGTTGGGAGAGGGACCTGGCTGTACAAACATGCCTCCTTCCCCTCCCTGGTTAATTATTGAGCAGGCAGACACACTCCGCCACTTTCTCCGGTTCTCGGTGAATTATTGATGCATGACGCGGTACAATGGCCCCATCTGGAGCGGGCCGCACCGCCACCGAAGCAGGACCAAAGTACGGCCTGGCACCCCCTCAGTGAGACCCGTACACACACCTAACACAGCCCATCGCTCTGCCCGTTTGGTCGAACTAAGAAAATGGCACCGCATAGAGGTGAGTAGAAAAAAAAAAGGATCATTTGCTCAAATTGGAAATGATTTGGGTCTTCAAGAACTGCGGATGCTATGAGCTACAAAAGCATGCTAGTAGCATAAAATACAAGAGAGCTACAGTATCTCAATAATTGTGCCTTTGCCCAGCTGCTAATGCGGTGTGCTCGCTTCAACACAAACGGCCTTGCATATTCCACTCAGATATTCCCTCAATTCTATCTCGCAATTTAGCTCAATTATATGAACTCAGTGCAATTCTGTCATTTCACCGAAGCCAACATGAGCCCGAATTCGGAACCTCTATTTAATAATAATAACCGCAGGGTGGGGAGGGTAGAGCAAATAGAACATGTTGCTTCAGATGAGTGACAGGTAACTTTTCAAGCGCACCTGCTGTTTTTTTTTTTTTTTTGCATGCTGAAAAGAAAAGAGGTGGCACACAAAGACAGCTTCATTTGGTTCATTAATGAAGACATCTGTTTTTTTCTTTTCCTTTTTAGCACAGGCTGGCATGAATGCGTTCATAAAGACCTTCTGCTGGGCAAACGTTTGCCCGCCCCTCATAAAGACAAGATAATTAACACGTTATTTCAACGCAGGGGGAAAAAAAGGGACATTCACACAAGTTTATAGCACATCGGTCACAGCCAATCAATTCCCGGGCATGTTTTGAATTGATTCCCATTTAAATTGATGCCTTGAGCTCACCATTTCCAATCACAGACTCACTAAATGTTACGGTAGACCGGAACACAAATCGCCGCTGCTCCTGCGCACTGAGAGGAGCCAGATTCATGTGAAAACCCCATAAGTCCATTTTTGTCATTTAAAAAATATCTATTTTCTTACATTAATGTGATTTCTAAAGTGCGGACACCCCTGTAACGTTTTTTTTTTTTTATGTCAAAGATAGACAGCCGTTTTCAGGGTAATGTTGTTCGATTAAATTATATTTAATAGTTTTGGCACATATTTATGGTTCAAACTCTTATGATATATAGCCTCTTCAAAAAAACAACAAAAATGGGAGGTGTGTGCTGTAGTCTTCCTAAATTTTTGCTATCCTATAGATAATAGTAGAGTGTTTGCTGTATCTTTTCTTTTTTTTTGGCCAACTCTAAACCCCACAGATAGCAATGGTTCACTCTATTCGCCTGCTCCTTTTCCTTGAGGTCTAGTTCACGTCCATCCATCTTCCAGCCAAGGAATCACGAAGGGACATCCCTTTCCATTAATGTCGGGCTAAGGTCACGGCCGGGGAGAAGTAAAAGTGGCGAGCGATGGGGGAGAACGAGGAAATGTGACAATGAGAAGTCCTTCCGCGGCGCCACAAAATTGATGAAGAGCCTGTTCTCTGATGATGGCTGCGGGGCTTTCGGAGAGTGGAGCACTGCAAATCTCATTTTCTGTTTTTCTTTCTTTGTCTGCGTGTTTGTTTCCATGCACACCGCCACACAAAACCCGGCCGGGTTCCAACTGACGCGTACGTACACACACACACACACACACACACACACACACACACACACACACACAAACACACACCAACACACACACACACACACACACAAGAAATCCTACCTCCAGACAGCGCTTACACACACAGAGACGAAGTCAGCGCACACAAACATGCTGACCATCTGTCAAGCTAGCACAGTTGTACACCGACTTACGAGTGACCTGACCGACAAGTTTTCGAGATACGAGCCATCTTGAGTTTTATTACGAGCAACAAAATAGGCTTATAAGAGCTATTTACGTTACATTGTGGCAAGCAGCAGTTTGGCAGAGAGTGAAAAATTCTACAAAAACAGTGCTTGCTTCAAGCTAGCTTCATGCTAACATACAATGATACCAAAGTTGGGCTACTTGCATTTCTCTCAAGTCCTCCCAGTCCAAATTCATTCAGCAGAGCCAACCAAAAAGTTTCCCACGAAGGTGCAAGTAGAACTATCTATTATGTCATAAAATTAAGGGGGGGGGGGGGGACTCTTTGGGTTTCAACCCTTACTCCGATGACCCTGATTCTTCTTCCTAAAGAAGATGTTGCAAGACCACAGATGTTTTCTGTCTCTTATTACTTTTGCAGGTTTGAACTGAGCTATTGTCGACCGATTTCTGCAGAGGATACGACACTCAAACACGCATGCTTGTCGGGAAGTCTGAAGGCAATGTTTAGTCATTTTCTCGAGAGGCGTGCTCGGAGTGGGTGGGGGGGTCAGAATGATGGAAAACTGGCACCCCATATGATTCTAATTAAGATTTACCTCCATGTGGGAATGTTGATTTTAGCTAAACAACCTGACAAAAAAAAAACTGCCTTCATCAACGGACTACTGAGGAGAGAAATTTGCCAGACAGGAACGTGAAATAATGCCTCAAACTAAAAACGGCACGTTTGACCACAAAGCTGAAGTAACGCAGGTCTGCAGACAAAACACTCGGCCAGTTCGTGACTCGTGACTTCAATTGTTTACAGTTACTTGGAACAGATTGCACAAAATTAAGCTTGGGCAATAGAAATGCCGCTTCACCCTGTCTTGAGAACCGATCACATGTAGCAACCAGCTCTGGAACGTTTCCATGACAACGCAATACTGTCGAAAAGGGCCCTAAACAGCCTAGCAGTTTCACTTTCACAAAAAAGTATTTTAAAAAATATATTAAAAAGCAGGTCACCTTTAACTTACGGTGGTGTGTGACCTCCATCGCCGATGCGTATATGGACGTGCGGTAACGGTCAATAGCGAATCTTGCTTGGCTTGAAAAGTATATTTTCATTCAAAAATGTTTGGGTACCTCAGCTGTAGAACATCTGCATTTGAATGAGACTTAATTCATACAAATAATCATCCACACCTAATTCGACATGTTTCTGCTGTGTTGTAGCACATCGTTCGAAACCTAAAATCTCGCGAGATGTTCTCAGAAGCTGCGAACTATGGAAGCCACAAAAAAAAAAAAAAAAAGGGTCAAATTCATTCATAAAAGCTACATATTGCCCAGCCTTAGTTGAGAGTTGATGGATACTAATTTATACATATTTCTTGGTATAAGACGTGTACTGTTTGCTGTCTAATGAGCAGCTGCAACACTTGAACTGATCTGCTCAGCGGTACAATACTGGGAACAACCTGATTCAGTCCCCTTCCACGTAATCGGGATTTACAGCCAATCTGTGGGCTCCCTCATTGTGTTCTCATTCTACAGACACACACACATAGCCATCACGTGGATGTGCCTGCTCAAACTGTGATCCAGGATATAAAATGGGGGAGAAACACATTCAACTGCTCGTTCGGTGTGGCCATGAGAGGGCTAATGAGATTGGTGCCTTTCATTAACTCACTGATTGGTGCCGAGCAGCTGCATGGTCCATCTCCTGACGCCGGGGCTGTCTGTTGACGTCTGGGAATTAATGAATGGTGTAATTTGATCTGGATAGGGGAGACCAGTGACAGCTTTTGAAGACTGAAGTTAAAAAGCCAGCGAGGCTGAGAGAGGCCGGTCACGTCCAAGACCCCCAGGCAGACTCCCACAGGCGGTCGAAGTGGAAGATGCAGCCAATGAAAATTAAGTACAAAGGATTTGGAGGCGCGGCACGGTGGATGACTGGTTGGCACGTCTGCCTCACAGTGCAGAGGTGCAGGGTTCGATTCAGGCTTTGGCCTTCCTGTGTGGAGTTTGCATGTTCTCCCTGTGTCTGCGTGGGTTTTCTCCACTTCATCTTCAATGAATGGGTTATTTTAAAAGTTTTCATATATAGCAGGGGTGTCAAACCCATTTTTCGAGTGGGCCACATTTTAGTTACTGTTTCCCTTGGAGGGCCGTTCTGACTGAAACCAGAGAAGAGGCGTCAAGAATAATGGTTTATTCGACTGTTGTGTACGTTACTGTCATGAGAGGTTTGGTCACAAGAAAAAGCTTACAATATCTCTCTGATTTGTTACATAGGAGAATTTGAAATTTTGGTACAAATTTTAGTAAGCATCATGGAAGTTGATTTGCTTTCGCGGGCCACATAAAATGATGCGGCGGGCCAGATCTGGCCCCCGGGCCTTGAGTTTGACACCAGTGATATATAGGATGCAACGCATTATAAGACGCAGAGAATAGAAGCCACAATAGTGGTTGCGGTTGCGTTATGCATCCACTAGATGGAGCTATGCTCAAGGGAAGACAGTACAATACAATACAGCTTTATTTATACAGAGGTTTGACAACCGCTGCAGCTGTAACAAAGCGCTTTACGGAACATTTAAAATACTACGTCCAAGAAATTAGAATATTGATCAATATATAAGGCGCACTGTAAGCTTTTGAGAAAAATGAATGCTTTTATGTGCGCCTTATAGTGCGGAAAATACAGTATTTGTGTTCAGTCTCAACAAAAGCAGTATGGGTGCTACCGCTTCACTACTTAGCTATTAAACTATCTTTGCGGTTTCACTTCACCTCACAAAGGGCAACCGTAACTACAATGTGCTCCACGTCACAATGACAGCTGACACCTGCTGGTCTCGAAGTAGTGACAATAATTAAACGCAGGCACAGTTAAGCTGTGAAAACCATCAGAGTGCTCCCAAGCATGCCCCCTCCCACGCTACGCCGGCATCAACACCAACGCACTCATTTGTGCCAACGTGCGCACTACTTGCACGCCACATCCTCTCAGCCTCCAATTAGATGCCTGGTGATAATCAGAGCTGCTCGAGTACAGTATGTACGCTTGCCTTGTGTGAGAGCGTTGATGAGGCCAGGGAAGACCACGGTGACCCCCACCTGCACAAACAACCCGAATCCACTCATACTCACAAATATGCACGTACACACTTCCCTTCACCTCTCAAAGCAGGTGATCCGAGAGAATGTGTCACAGCTGCCGGGAAAGAGGGCAACGGCGACAGCATTGTCAGCACCATGTACGAGAAAGAGAGTGCGCTCATGTGTTGGGATGAGTGATGGAGGCAGCCACCATGGCCCTGATTCCCCTCCTCACCTCAACACAGCCCCCTGGGCTGTGAGTCGCCTCTCAGCCCCTCCTCTTTACCTCACCTTGGATGTGCATATCTCGTCGCTGTCCTTTTCCTTCACACCTCTCATTCCCTCCCTCCGTTCTTTTTCCGTCTCGTCCTTTGCCACGCGCCAGCCGCTCGCTGTCCGTGCAGAATAGCTCCGCGGCCGTGGATTAAGGCCGAGAATGGAAAATACGTTTTTTTGTTTAGACTTGCGCGCTTTGGTGTGCAGCGTAAGGCAACATGCCAGCTCGAAGGACGCTAAGTGGCAATGACAAGGAGGTCAAAGCGTGGCGGCAGGGCAAGCGTTTTCAAGGCTATGGGCTGTGTGACTGTGCTGCATGTTATGTGAAGGAGATTCATGACCTTTTTTTAATTTGCTGCCCATATACTTGGGGTTGACATCACACCTCCGGTGAAATTATCAGCAACGTCAAACCGATTTAGATCTGGTGCACATCTCTCATCAAATACAGTTCCACGCGTATCTCAATACATGAGGTGTAAAACGACTCAAGGGTAAGACGATTCAGAAATGTAACTATTCGATTCCATTTGTCAAATTCAGACCGATCTTCTGACTCAAGTCCCTTTTTGTTACATCCCATAGATAGATAGACCACAGAGAGAGAGAGAGAAACAGAGAGAGAGAGAGAGAGAGAGAGAGAGAGAGAGAGAGAGAGAGAGAGAGAGAGAGAGAGAGAGAGAGGGCTAGCTAGCTAGCTAGCAACAACAGCCAGGGTAATTCACTTCTTCACAATTGCATCAGGCCGCTTTTGGTTAGATAAATCAAAACACAGTTCTGTATCTGTTTTCCAATAACAACTGCGTTCATGGTTTTCCATTGCAGTGACTTTAGTGGTCAATCACCAAGAGTACAGCCGTGATTCACGGACTGTAAGTTTTTACGTGATTATCCAGTTCAGTCGGGTTCAGCCTTGCTTGGTGTATGCGAGCCTAAGATGTGACGCCTGACGGGGTGGCGCGTGATGTCGACAAGTCTGCTCGCAAGTACCTCGACGTGGACTGTGGCCGGCAGCAGATCCTGCGTGAGTGCACTTATTGTGTTTCTGTGTTCTGTATTTGGTCAATAAATGGCTAAAAAAGTGCATCAGTTGGCTGTCGGTTCAAAAAAATATAGAAACATTTGCGATATGGCGGGGGCGCAACGACACCCCATATTTTTAAATTGGTTATTGCGTCTATTTATGTGAGTTTAACGCCAACAGTGCTGCTGCTGCGCTCACAGTGATTCGTATTAGCACTGGATCCGTCATGCACATGTAGACATGTAATTAACTGAGGGGTGGGAGGCTCTCACACACACTTGGGGGTGGGCTCGGGTATTGGGAACAGAGAAGAGTGCCGACGAGGCACGGTTGATTTATTATCCCATCACCTTGACCTTGCCGACATGAAAGATGCGGCTCAATTAAGCCGGCTTGGCCTCTCCCAGAGAGCACTGATCTACTTGGATGGACTGGATTTCCCTTTATATTCCATTCCTCCCAACAACGCGGTCATAAATGACAAGAAATATACCTCCAGGCATCGTCTGATTCATGTTATGCTGAAATGCCCACATTTCGAAACCATATTCAGCTTATTCAGGACTCCTGGGTAAATATTTTTCGATGTCCCCCAACTTTCCCACAATTTCACATTTTCCTTCAAAAAAATGTCACTTTCATTCTTTCATTTGATTGTCTTAGAGTTATAGTCTGGAAATATTTGTCATTTACGCTTCGTAAGACGACGACGTGTCCCTCATGACGGAACATCAACCCAAAGGTTGCTGTGACTTTCGCGCTTCATGTGGAAAGAGAAAGGAATCAATATTCACTCAGAGATGTTTGAAGAGAATAAAAGAAGACAGATGTGTCAATTTGAGAGGGCTGGGACCAAGGGGGTCACACTGGTGTCCGCGTCTTTCATCAAAGCATTTGGAATGTTTATGTGGTGATGGTGGAAAGTTAGCTTTTAGAAGACCAGGACAAGTGGGAAACAATTTGATGGTGTGGTATAACGGACTGTTCTCTGAACCCCCCACCCCCACCCCCCTGGCAGCTTTCAGCCCTTGAAAAGTGCTCATTAGGAAAGTTGGCTTTCCGGCTCAGCCACTCTCACAAGACGATATCTCGTTCTATGGAACGGTCCCATGATGAAAAAGATTTGGAGAAGTCTTGCACTTTATGCTTGAGTAGATATTGATTTGTTGTTTTGCTTCTTCAGTATGACTGATGATTCGCTCTTATAGGAGCGTCACAACCCGGGCTGGACATTGCAACGCATTTCTTTCATTGATCAACGAAGACTAGGAACCATAACTAACAATTCATTTTTATGTTTATATAGATCCAGAGTGCACATTCATTCCAGCTGGCAAAAAAGTATGAAAAAAAAAAACACCCCCCCAAAAAAGGCTACCGTATATTCCGCACTATAAGGTACTTCAGTGTATGAGGCACACCTTCAATGAATGGCCTATGTTAAAACTCTTTTCATATATAGGGCGCACTGCATTATAAGGCGCATTGAATAGAAGCTACAATATTGGCTGCGGTTGCGCTGTGCACCCACTAGATGGTGCTATATTAAATGGAATGCAATATAATACAACATCGCATTATTTATATAGAGCCTTCACAACCAACAAAGCCATGAGAACTGGTGACAAACACGCATGAAACATATAAATTATAATACTTATGGTGATGCCCAGTAACTATATAGAGTAAATAAGTAATTTAAATCGACATATTACCCCATCTTGTGATCTGATAGGTTATCGTTTTTTTACTCTCTCATTTCCATTGGCCCCACAAATCCTAATTGTGTAAAGCCTACTTTTTATCTTTTGCATTAGCATCGCATGATGAAACTGCACTGAAACTGAACTCTTACTCCCTGATTTCCTTTGCAATCCACCTACCTGCAAAAGCTTTGGAGATGTGATCTTTCTTCCATTCCCAAGGTTGGTCATACTCGTCGGCCGGTCTCTCGTCGTCTTGCGGCAGCCTGCTGCCTTCCTTGCCCTCCTCCTGAGCTTCCCCGAAGCTGAAGCCCGGACGTTGGCCTCGCCCGTCTTCATACGGGGTGTCATACAGCTGCAGCCCGCCCCGTGACCGTCCTCCTCCTGGGCCACGCTGCAGCTCTATCAAAAGCAGACACAAAAACTACTCAAGTCGGCGCACCGTTGGCGCGTGCTGAAGATCACAGCGGCAGTAATATTAACACTGGTGTTGTTTGGTACCTAGAGCGCCTGTTGAGCGCTGACATGACTAGAATTTAAAGAGCGGGACGAATTACGTTTGCGCAGCTCGCGGCGGGGCTCAGAATCTCATATCGCGGCTTAACAAGACTTTGGGCTCCAATGCCGAGTAGCATAAAGGCTATGCACCCCCCCACCCCCCCAACTCATCCACGCGACCCCCTACAGCAATCAAGCATCGCTCACAACGGCGCCCTTGTTCCCTCCCGTGAAAAATTCTCATCACTTTCTCAGTTGGTCCCTACTGAGCAATATTTCTTGGAGTCAAATATGGCCTTGGGATAAAAAGGATTATTGACGCAAGCGAGAGAAGTTAATCAGATTCCTGCATCTCATCAACTGGAGCTTGGAAAAGGAACCACTAATGGGGCTTTTTATCTGATGACCTGAAAAATTTTTGCCTCTTAAGAACAGGTGGTCGGAAAAAAAAAAAGGTGTCGGGATCTTTTGTGCAAAAAAAATAAAATAAATAAATGTGCACTTCTAAGAGGATGAAACAAAAGCGTTTAATGGTGGAAGGTGGTGGAAAACTTCAACCTTCACACCAAGACGCTACCATTGGGCTGCCCGTAATCACCATGGCGACCAAACGGAGGCCCTGGGGAAAGGCCCTGAGGCTGTGAAGAAGAAGGAAAATGGAGGGAGAGCAGAGGAGCAAGGCAATAACAGAAGAGGAGGAGGAGGAGGAGGAGGTGGGTGGGTGGGGGTAAAGGGGGGGGGGTTGTTGAGCACGCATGTGGGGGGATCTGTCAGCGTTTGATGTTAAGTCATGGCGACAGAAGCGCGGCGGCGCCCAAAGCTGCTCTACCTGCGCCTAGGAACCCGAGGTGTCAGCGAGGCCGCCGGGAGATGGCGAAGATGAAGGCGGAGAGATGAAAACAGGCTTATGGGGAATAAAATGAGAAATTCATTGGAACCATGAATGGCGGGAAACACAAGCGCACTCGGGGAGACAAAACGGGAATCTGACAGGAAGGTGAGCGAGGCGGAAGAGAGAGGGAGGCTGAGACATGAGGATGCATGCAAGAACAATTCAAGCCCGAAGACCTGAAGAATTGGAATGCCCGGCCTACTTGTTTCTGTTGAAGTCTAAAAAGCACACGGATGAAAAAGTATTGGGAAACCCGGCCATGACTTTCTCCATCTATCTTTGCCAGTATCTTGTTGTGACAGGGATAACAATTATATGCTATTTCCTCTAGATGACAGAAGGTACAGTTAAACTGCAGGATATCAAATATAGTTTTTGGTGACATTGTTGTTCGGGAGCATGTTGTGAGATTTTTTTCAAATGTAAAATAAGTGTCTTGCCTCTACTTTCGACACGAATTTAGAACGTGCGGAATGTCTAAAAATGTCTACAGTATACCAAATTCACAAACTCGCATTTCTGTCTCTGGGAACTATCCTCAGCTATTCACTGAAAACCACGCCAATTTTTTTTGTTATCTTCCTATTATGCTCTTTGATGCCACTGGATGGCACCACAACTCTGGCTAATAGGAAAATAGTAACTAATGCCAAGGAAGCTTCAATAGAAGTGATACATCGGGATTAAGAGACTCACATCTTTGTATGTCAGGGAGGCTTCATTCTCAACAACTCTTCAACCGCAAACAATGTCATTGATTTTTATTTTTTATTTTGGTCCACGTTGATATCTTAAGTAGAGTGACAAAAAGAATGTGAACACATTCCAAATAAAAATGTGACTCGGATGCAGCGAGCAAATTAATCCTACGCCTAATTGAAGCCGTATTACTTCTTTGTGCATCTAGTCCGATCTCGTGGGCTGCCAAAAAACAGACAAAAAGCTCACCGATCAAGGCCGAGACAATGCCGCTCCATCCACTCAATCACTGCTGTGATTCTCATCACTCGCTAATGTCTCTATCCAGCTGCTACAGGGACAGATTACTACCCATCCGCAGAGCAAAGAAGCGTACATTCATTAAATACCCGACATTATCAGCGTATTATTGGACCACCAAAGATGCAAGTCACATCATAGAGCGGGGCAAGACAATAATTTGCTAACAGACAGATTACCGAGACAGCCAACCTCCCCTTAGGGGCCGAGGAGAGCCCTCAAGATGAAGCCAGATAGACGAACAAGGAAAGAGGAGGAGGAGGGCGGGAGCACTTTCACACTAAATGGCTGGGACAGGGCAGGGAAGAGGAAGACAGAGACGTTACAGGAGGAGAAACAAATGGAAAACGGTAGCTGCGAGTGAGATGATGCAGGAAGAAAACCACTGGGGAGGAGGGAGGCCCGGCGGCGGAATACGCCAAAGGGACGCACAGTGATGCATTGACAGAAAGGAAATCACTATGCAAAACAGTATTCATTGCCTTAGGGGATTTTTTTTTTTTTTTTGTATTTTAATCGGGAATGGCAACTCATTATTTCACAAATGAAAACAGCAACATTTAGTATCTAATATGAATATTAAACAACATTGTACAGCGGTTACCATTACTTAATTGGTTCCCGGAGAAATTTTTTGAGAAGAAAATTTTTTAAGTAGAGACGCGTTCTCCATGTAAATGCCCTAATCCGTTCCAATCCAACCAAAATTCAGACAGAAATGTTTGATAAAGCACAAAAATGCATCAAAATATGTCACAATTATGTTACAAATTAGGTTATTGCACAAAAAATGAGAGTTGTGCCAACCCGCCGGCACAGATGTGGGCTTGTGTCGCCAAAAACACACTCATATTTACACCGATGGCCAATTTAGAGGCTTTGTTAATGGTCATATAGATTGGATAATGTCATTGAAGTAACGATTTTAATTCTTGGTGTGAGGGTTGTTGCGAAATGGTCCATGGTTTTGTTATCGGGGAGCCTGAATGCACAATACCTAACGTAGAAGCGATACAGAGTTCCATGTCACCTAAATTGATTGGTGCGATCGCTCCGCTCACCTGTTATGACTCGCTGGGCCTCATAAGGTTCCATGTAGCCATTGTTTTCTGAGGGAACCGGTCTGACATCCGGTTCTGGTCGATGGTCCAAGCGAACATCAAACGGGTCCGAATAATCCGTGTCCCCCGCCAGCGGAGCAGACGGCACTGCCTAAAAAAAAAAGACAAGAACAACCCACACACATCCAGATTCATAAACATAGACTAGATTAACCCTTTTCATGCACAAATAATACATTAGGATGTTTTTCTCAACTGTTTTTATTAGTCTTTGGGTATGAAAAAAAAATCATGGCAGTGGATGGCAACACACATAAGGGTCCATTGTAGTGGTCAAAGCACAACTGTGACATGAAGATTAAAAATAAAATTTAAAAAAAAACGTGAATAGCTGTCCACTCTCGGGTTAAATGACTTGAATGCTTTTAATAACAAAATAAGTCTGAACTTAAGTAAAATACAGTGCATTAGTTATATTCGACAACCCTGGCGCTGATTAACGGAACAGGGTAAATATTGTATAAAAAAAAAAAAAAAGTTTGCTGATGAATACTGTCAGACAAAGAACTGCAATCACATCCTCGCTGAATTGCTTCCATGCAAAACAGACGCCGGGTGGTTGTTTTTTTATGGTATGATTGTGACACTGACGTGCAACCAAATTTAGAGTGTCACAAGGGGTTGCAAATGTTAAATTAAGCAGCACAACAAATGTGCTGCTCCTGGTTCCAAATTGTTTTATAATATTCTGTGCTGTGGTTGCCACGCAAAAGAGGAAACAAAAAAGCGTCCAATTTGTAACGTCTTTTGGGATGCAACAATGGAACTACTGGATTCATGGAGCATCTTTAGAATGTAGGAGAGAGACCAGTGGTCCGCTGGCTCAGTGACAGCTACGGAGGTAGCCATATGGTCACAAACACACACAAACATTCAATCCTTCAAACACCATCGCTCATTGGCAAAATGCTAAGCTGTCTCTGGTTGACAATTCCCAGTTCAACGCATTCAAAGCCTAAAAATAAAACTAGACTCTAGCGCCAAAACATTGACTGCGTTGTCTGTCGATATACGGGAATCTGCTGTGTTAATTAGAGTGCGGATTTTCCCACTGATCCTGGGAAATTAATGAGGGAAACAAGCTATCGAATGGAATTCACACCGTTAATCGACTTCACGACTTCTGCAGCGAAAAACTTTGAAGTTGTAGTTTACACAAAGTTAAAACTTTCCATTGGGACCGAGCCCTGCCGTGAAAAAAAAAAAAAAAAAAAAAAAAAAGCGAGTAATTGACACCTTCCTAAAAATATTTATAATTGCCTATTTGAATAGTTTTATCCTCAAATATGCCCCAAAATATGATCTGTGAAAAGAAATGGTTGACAGATGGTTTTTCTAAATGCATCTCTCGTAACTTAAAAAAATAATAGCAATCACAAAAATTTTTCTGAACGGTTGAGCTCTACGACTGCAACAGCGACTGTCTCCCGAGGCAGAACAGCAAAAGAGAAGCACCTCCCGTGGTCCTCGACATATCCCAGTCCACGCGACAGTCCCCCAACACGTACGCATGTGGGGTTCTCCCATCTTGCAAAACCAAACCCCAATTAATTATTTATGTAAGGTTTAAACCCCACGGGACTGGCAACCACCTCTAATTCAACACGCTGCTCAGAGCCATCAATTATTATCTCATCTTACTCTGGTAGATGCTCAGCTGGCGCACGCGCCTACAATTTATGCAAACATATTTGTGACACACATTTGCCCAGCGAGTGCGATCAATAAAACTGTCACGCTGACAATAAATGGGACACCAGTGAATTGGGAGAAGGCTTCCACCCCCTTCGCTCCTCCCTCACGCTCATGTAGCCACCCCCGAGCTTCATTTGTCATCACCTGCAGTACAGGTGACAAACTCAAGCCCCGTGGGCCAAATCTGTTCCCCCCACCATGTCATTTTATGGAGCCCGTGAACGTTTGCCACATTTTATCTTCAACTTGCGTTCACAATTTGAGCGTCAACTTCAAAAATGTGTCATTGATCCAGGGGTGTAACAGCGGAGTTATAATATCTCACATTTTTCACTTTGCTTGCTCAGTCACTTTGCCCGCTGTCTTTGTTAGCATTGGCCCCGCCCCCCTCAACTCATCCATCCAATCACATTCAGATGCCTTCATGGCCAAGGAGAAAATGGGAAACTTGGAAAACACAGCAGAGTCGCTCCTCATGACTGTACACGGTAGAACTGTATCTTTTTTTTTTATTATTACAGGACTCGTTTGCAATCCTGTACTGTAGCAAAACTATAGCTGTGTTATGTAGATTGTTGCAAAAGCGTTATAAAATGAGACAATGTGAGACCATAAAGGTGTCTACATGTGATTTGTGATTGGATGGGTGAGTCGGGCGGTGGGGTGGCTGGAAGGAAGGAGGAGGCTTGGGCAAAACACTTGCTGTTGACAATACGCTAGTTGTTCACAGGAAAGACGTTATTGATCAACCACCGCTTCTCTTTGTTGTGTCGTCGAAGCAGATGCTACGTTGTCTGTCTTTTCATGGTTTCAGAAAGGCAATTGGTCAATTTGATGATGACTGATGTGAGGATTGAGGGGGTTTGTTAGCAGGAGTCTTTTTAGCTGGGCGTGTGCTTTTGTTATATTGGAGGATGGACTGGCAGATATTGCAAGTAACCGTGCTACCGGTGTCATTTTAATTAAAATATTTACACAAGCTTGAGGCACGGCTGCTTGTTTGCTGCACCGACCGACCACATGTTTATTTCAGTGAGGCGTCTGTGTCGTCCGTGCCAAAATACGTGATTGCCAATTGATGAGCAACTTCAAGCCAGAATACGGGATTGTTAATTGTTAATCAACTTGGGAGTTTTAATCGTCATTGCGCAGTGGTCGTAATTAGGGTCAAGTATGTAATAGGATGGGATGATTTTTAAGGTGCCCACATTGAGCGTATTTTAAATGTTAAAAGAAAAAAAGGTTTTAATCTGTTCACTGTAGCAAATGTGAACAAACTTAGAACAAATGTATGTAAAAATTATGATAGTTGGCGTGCCGTGACACAGCCAACAATTACACATTTCTGTTCTTTCACCATTTTAACAGCCCCCCTGAGGGTAACCAAAACTATGAGGTGGCCCACCATGATAACAAGTTTGACACCTCTAACCTACAGAGACATGCTTACAGGTTCTTGCTGGTCGTCTAAAGAGATGGCACTGAGCAGGATCTTGGTGCGGCCCAGGTCCTGGGAGTCCACTTTGATGAGTCTGTGTTTAGGAGATTTCACATCCGCGCTGGAGGACTTCATGGGCGAGCCGTAAACGGGGGTGGCAGGCTCCGAGGTCCCAGATTCGGCCCTGGGCCGGTTTTCGGAGTCCTCGTATGGATCTTCAAAGTCCAGTTCCCTCTGGAGGCGGTAGGCTTTTAGGATCTCGCTCTCTGTGTAGTCCGGCGTGGGAGGCTGCGGGGGTACCTTCCTGCTGCCAAAACTCAAGTAGTCTTTGAGCCACTTGGCCATCGCGGCTTTGCGTCCAAACTTGGTGTGGTGCTTAAAGACTGAATGGGACAGACAAGGACATAAAGGTTATGACATTTTTTACGTTGTTTTTTTTTTTTTTGTTTTTTTTTTTTTTATGAGCTTACATTGTCAGAAATACTGGTGTACAAAAGGAGTCTATATCTGTCCCTCAAGCTAGAAACCACACCAAATCCAATTCCATACATTTATATTCCATCGGGGAACCACGGGATAGAGAGCACTGGGTTAGCACAATGAAAGCTTTCTCTGTGAAAATAAGTGCTCTCTGTCAAAACGGGGATCTAAATGTGACCAGTCATAAAGACCAATTTTACAGCATAAAATGAAACATCAAACTGCATGTCACAGCTGAGCCAAGTCTGTTCAGCTTTCACGCTTTTTTCTGATGTAGTACTTTGTATAAGTGTGTCAAGGCAACCTCTGCAAAATACGTGCAGCTTACAAGCACATACCTCGGTTTCCCCGCGCGTTAATTAATCACTTTAAATACTTTGAATTACTGAAGCCACTACACACACAAATGACAAATAAACTCACTCTACCCGATAAAACAATGAATCGCTCAGCACCATGGTATCACCACTTACAGTGCTTTTATTGAGATCATAAAAAGAAATACTGCAGACTACAACCGGAATGTGGCCTTCCATGCTGTCAAAAAGGACACCGGGCTAAACTAGAACAGCTGGGCAGAGACACTCCTTTTGTTTTAGGCAACACCATATGCCAGGTGAACTTTGCCCGAGGGCTTGCGATTAAAGTTGCAGTATTTACATGCTTAACACACGAGCTCCAGAAAACGGCGTTAAAACGCAAAAGTAACAGAGAGCCGAGTTGTATGGATTGCAAAGTTAAAATAAAGTGTGAGTTTGTGGTAGATAGAGGCAGGCTCAAAGTAAGCACTTTTGAGTTTCAACTTTCGGTGACACAAACGTTGGCTTGCCAAAAGCAAAAGCACACGGACTCACCAGCCAACGTGCGTTTATGTTTGTTCAGCCCCTCAACCACTTTGCACGCTTCATTCCGTCTCCCTTCGTGTCCGCCCACGAAACAACTTCCACGCGTTCTGATTCAAAAGGGGTAAAAAAAAACCAAAACAAAACGTATTTCCCCAAAATACAATAATCCGGGTGGAACAGGGAAAGTGGGGCACAAATCCAGCGACGACTCCTACGAGAGGCGAAGGCAAAGGTCCAAATGAGTGCGAGCGAGTGCGTGGAGCCCGCAGATAAAGAAAAGCAGAGAGAAAGTCACTGCGTTTAAAGGGGAGGTGCTTCACTTGGTCCTATTATCTGCGTCTCCTTCCACGCGCACTGGAGCGTTCATTCATTTAAATATCTGCAAACATGGAGAGTTTCCTTTAAAAATATCACGCAGAGGGGAGGACAAACACGCGGTGGAGTAAACAGAGGGGAAATCAGCTCGCACGAACACGCTGCGTGCATGTGCATTATTTATCCCCATGACATCACTGGAGGTCTTTTTCTCCCCTCGCCTCATCCAAAACTGGCTGCCGATTCAAATCCGACTCATCTTTAATGGCCAACGCGTAATGCATTTGTTTGAGCTGACCACCTGCACCATCTAACAAAACTGAATACATGAGCTAAATTTAAAAAAAAAAACAATGCATTTGTTTGAGCTGACCACCTGCACCATGGAACAAAACTGAATGCATGAGCTAAATTTAAAAAAAATGGTGCATGTGGTTTATTCGGGATAACATTGAAAACTGTGGAAAAACTAAAGTGCTATGAGTACTTTCCAGTACTATAAAAAATATGAGACAGCACTTTCAGCATTGTCGGAGGTGTAAAGGCAGATCTTATTTGATTGTATCCCAAATGGGGCAACGAAAGGGTCCTTGTGGTTCGCACCTCTGAATCGCAGTCCTGAGGTGTTGTTTCAACCATACATGTTTGGTAGGATAATAAAAATCCCTTGAACCCTTGAAAACTCAACTTTTTCAATGTGACTTGAAAAAAACAACAATAAAATATATGAATACGAATAAGTGTTTGCGTGTGAATATTCGCTATTGAAGGATAAACCCTCTCGATAGTCGATGCTAATTCCGTTAGCATGTCAATGGGATTTTTATTGACTTTAGCATTATCACTAGCAACGTTTTTTAAAACGAAGCGTGCCTGTTATCGAAATATACAATGCGTGTACTTGTTTTTGTTGTGTGTTCAGTTTAACGGTAAACTCCAACTAGGGGGTCAGCAGCTCGCGAAGGGCAGAATCACATGTACGTCACGCTTGCTACGTAAGTAGCATGGTTCTTTGAGGATACTTTTCACAATGTCGGGAATTTACAACCGGCACGTTAATCAATTTTCTTCTAGTACAATGTTTTTAAGTTCACGAGAAGGCAACATCAAAATAACATTTGGATTTCAATTAACTGCCCAGCCCTGTAAGCACACTGCTGTCACCGCTTTGTCACGGTCTCAGTCTGTGCTTCATTTTCAGGATTGTGTTTCTCAACCTTCCCCAAACAATTGTTGCTCCCTAACATACGTCACACCGGACGCTGGCCCTGAAAATGTCATGCATCTACTGTAATTACCTGATTGGAAGATGCCATGTTGAAATGTAAATACACAACAATACCCCACTTCTGTGTAAAAGACAAAGGCGGATATATTCCACATCTTTTGTTACGTTCTTTTGTTAGACTCTGTAAGAGAGCCTTGAGAATGCTTTTGAAGGAATCTGCCGTTGGTTTTGAGCAAGCAGGGCTGCGAGGTTGAGCTTTAATCAGCAGCACAAACATTCAGTAGCCATATACAATATGTGGTCAGAAAGGGATAAGCCCTGCATATTCTGATTGGACAACATATTGAATGTCCTCTCACAGACGTGTTCTTTTCCATTTTCCATCAGGGCAGATTGGACGTGCTGCAGCCATTAAGATTTCTAAATGCCCTTTTTCTTTATGACACTCATGAGCTCGCTTTCTCTTGTAGGCGGGAAAGAGGATGAGGTCATTGTACTGGAATCCTAATGCACATACACTCTCCGCCACACAAGATAATCATCAACATCAGACCCCTCAAATCTTACTCCGTTTGCTCACAGTGTTTAAGGGTTTCCTGGCTCTGGTTATGAGCCAGACCATTTGGAAGAAAATCTGAAGCCACTGGGGGCTTATGATGGTTAATCCAGTATTTTGTGGGTCTCTGCTATTCGCTTTAAATCAGTTGTGACTCAAAAGACGCAATCATTTATGCATTACTAACCAAAAGGAAAACGCAGTTAATCCCGAGAGGCTAAATGGCCTCTTTAAAGAGAGGCCTCTCCATGCTGTAATGAAAATAAGATGACAAATAAATCTTGTTATTTGGGATTCATTTGAGCGAGGCCTCCAAGGTTGAATAAAATCCCTTCATGCCGCCAGTTGACTTCAAGTTGCAATATGACAAGATTTGCCAAAAATGACAGTCCATCAAAATGCTGAGTTTGTTTGGAATGGGAACTTTAACCTGAGTACAACGCACCCGGAAGCTGACTTGCTAACCATAAGACTGACGTGTTGCCTTATGCTCCCATACAAATTGGAAAACAGAATGTCAGAATCCAGCCCATGATTGTGCTTACCTACCATTATTCCTCACATGACGCTTTTATGTCCCATCATCTTGCAATGTAATCACATTCCGTGGTTCTTCATTCCCCATTTCACCTGCATTATGATCATAACTGCCATAATGCATTTGAGTACGTTATACAATTCGGCCAGAGACCTTTGGAACTCTCTGGAGTGAGTTGATGGAAAATAATGATCCAAAGGGAACATGTGGAGAAAGGAAAATTGGAGATTTGGAGAAAAAAATAGTGATCTCATAAAGTGAGAGATAATCACAGAGAACGGCAGGAATAAAAAAAGGAATCTTTTCAGCAAAAATAAACAGTGTCGCTTGGGCGCCAGCAATTTCATGGAATCACACAGAGACCACAAGGCACCATGGAATATTTCAGGGAAATTAACACGGTTTCTTCATTATGAAGGAATAAATTAGGTTTGGGATGTTCTCTCAACATCACACTTTTGGGTGTTGATTTTCCTTGCAAAGAGCAATATTTTACTGCCTAGATGAAAGACATGATACAGTATTATTCTTTTTGTAATCCGTTGGAATCGTAAAGGGATTGTCTTACTTGTGTTTACTGCCCCCTTGTGGTAGTGGATGAGCATTGCCGAGGTATTACTATTCATTCACCCTATATTCTACAAAAATTAGCCTGCGTTCAATTAAAGGGCTTTCCGAGCCTATTGTTTGTTTACTTACCGATTTAGCTCCACCAGTGTAGCCATTGGTGTGGCTAACTTTTCACAACAACAAAATGTAAATTTATATACTCACTATTTGGTGTTTGAAATGGCTACCGAAGAAGCTGAGCAGTGTTTAAAAGTTCGGTGCTTTTCTCCCAACAAGGTTTTTGTGTGTGCTGATTGGTTTATTCGATGATTTGGGTGGAGCTACTGCTGTGTCTGCCTGGTGATACCTGTGAGTTGGAGAGCAACAATCGTGGTGCGACACTCACTCCACCTGTACGTTACTTCACAGGTTGCTCAGGTTTTGTTTCTTCCGATTTTTAATACGTACATTTGTTCCATAAAATTAATATTGTTTTGCTGCATTTTTTCGTATAAAAGTAGAGCAACATGAAGAGTCTGAAGGCAAAGTTTAAAAAGAATGAGGTAAGTGTAAGGTCTGAATCCCGAGTGGCTTATGATTTTTTTTTTCATGGTTCTATTTCGTCATGTTTATTATCTTAAATCGTCGTTTATGCGTCCTGGGGAGTGTGTTTAAATGCGAGGGGAGGTGGTTATTGGAGTTCAGTATGACCACAGCAGCATGGCAGCGGGGCTGCCTCTTGACTGCTGCTTGAGCAGAGGCTCAATGGCCAATAGAGCTCAGGTAGCATTCAATTATTCACACACACACACACACACACACACACACAGGCACACCAGTTACATTGCACCACCCTGGTGTCTCTCGAGAGGGGTGTCAAACTCATTTTTGTTGCGGGCCACATTGTAGTTACGATTTCCCTGGGAGGGCCTTGATGACTGTGAATTTTGTGAAACCGTATAAATGTTTAATCACCTCCGCATATTACATATCCAGTGCACAACGAATTGGCGGATAACTAGTTTTGAAATCAGGAGTGAAGAATAATGGTTTGTTCAGCCATTGTTTACATTAATGTAATAAGTACGTAATGAGATAATGCTTGCAATATCTCAATTTTATGATGGATTACATATGACAATTTCAAATGTTCGTTCTGACTTTAGCAAGCATCGTGGAAAAGTTGACATGCTTGATTTGCTCTCGTGGGCCACACAAAATGATATGGTGGGCCAGATCTAGCCCCCGGGCCTTGAGTTTGACACAATGGACCAGAGTAAACCCTTTCCTATAAGCAAATTGGAAATAAGGAATGTCACGGCCACATGTGCATGTACACGCGCACTTCTGATGCATTATGTTTTTTGAAAAATCAAAGCATTTTTTAAGATTTTTTTTTTCCTAGGGTAAAATTAGTTAGAAATAATACTAGACAGTTTTGGGACCATAGTTTGTGGTATAGTTACACTCTAAAGAATTAATATGGGGGAAAAAAATAGGGGTGGTATCATACACTTTTTTTTCCCGATGTGCAGGGAGGGTTCTCACTGTATTCCTTGCAGAGACCAAAGAACTTACAAACATTAAACAATGTGATCTCATGTTTTAAAACTACATATAGTTTCCTTCAGATCTCTACTGTACAATGTACAGCCTGAAAGTGAAAGCCCGTGTCTCTCACATCCCAGAGAGCGAGCAGACAGACTCACAGTGCACAGCTGCTCTTATTTGCTGAGTCCTGATATGGAATGACAAGGGCACAGAGCTACAGGATGGAGCAACCGCAGGGTACAACTCTTAAAAGGCTGGCCAAAAAAAAAAAAAAAGAGAGAAGCTGATACAAAGGAGAAAGCTTTGATTGTATTAGAAGCTCGGATGTGTAGTAATCAGCTATCAGATTATAGTTCAGAACAGTTTTATGTGTGCTAGCTGCATTGTTCCTCTGCAGCTTGTCGCTAGCCTGATGAATCCTTTTTGTCATTGTCTCAGCCTGCTCCCACTTCCCGTATGTATCATTTCACAGTAATGAAACTGGAGTATAACTTTGCTTAACCGTGCTTTTATTTTTCCACTGTTGTGTCATGCCATGTTTATAAAATTTTTTTCCTCTTTTTTTTTTTTTTTTTACCCGGATCCCGTAAGAGTCAGGACTGGAGCAAGAGTGACGAGAGGCTCCTCCAGGCTGCGGAGCAAAACGAAGCAGACAAAGTGTCCGCCCTCATCCTTAAAAAGGGTCTCTGCCCCACCAAGTTGGATGCTGAGGGCAAGTCGGCGTAAGTGGGTCATTGGACTGCCTGTCACTTTAACGGCGATGAGCCAAAATGCCAACGAGGACGAGATTGCTGAGAAGCCGAGAGGGACAAAATACATGCATGTGTGTTTTTTTTGTATTCAACCAACATTTATCACAGTATCTTACTACAGTATATATCATGCTCTTACATCGATAGATCCAGTCTTCAACAACAAAGAGTTGAAATATTCCAAAAATAATCATATACTGTTATTTTTGTATTCCCAGTGCAAAGGGCTCTCATGCATAAAAATTCCAATTCAAGGATGGCACAAAACTGCTGAACAGCAAGCCAAGAGTGGAAGAACCCATTTTGAGCATTTTTTCACAATAATCAACTCACTCAAAATTGTAATATTGCTCGGGTAAAGCGTTTGCCCTCCGTGTCATTCCAAATCCACAAAAAAAGATTAGATAGACTCACGTTGTAGTACAGCACTCGGTTGTCATCCCTGCCGATTTTGCAATAAACAGTTCAGGGAGATAAAAGAAATCACTCAACACAGCGGAAACAACAGGATCGTCAGTTAGAGACCCCCGACACAAATTCACCCCGATTATCGGTATTTAATGTGCCGCGCTTAATTTGCATGGCATAAAAACGTGAGCTACAAACAAATCTAATCAACGTTATTCACAGAATAAGTGAATACGTACGAATAACTCATGTGTCCTTCCGGCAGCTTCCATCAATGTGTGTCTCGTGGGCATGTCGACTGTCTGGAGGTCATCATCGCTCACGGAACAGACCTCAATGTCACAGATGGTGCCGGTGTGGTATTGCACAACACAGACCAAAAAAAAAAAACCCAAAACATTATCCATCAAGGCCACCATATCACATGTTGTTTGCTGATTTTAATTGCTAGGCTTTGGCGCCCTTCACCTCGCAGCCAAAAACGGACAGACCGAATGCTTAAAGAGACTTTTGCAGGTAAATGAAGTTGACAACATACATTTTCCCTTCATCATCAAATGTAGCGAGTTTTATCCTACCCTGTCGATAACAGGAAAGACTGGAAGTGGATTGCACAGATGCCATTGGGAGGACACCCCTCCATCATGCAGGTACAGTAACAGTTACACACTTTGACCAAAGTCAAGTGCATATTTTGGTGACTTTAATCAGTCAGACAATATTTTATGCACGATAAGGCGCTTCGTATTATAAGGCGCACCTTCAATGAATGGCATGTTTTAAAACTGTTTTCATAAGGAGGGTGCACTGCATTATAAGGCGCATAGAATAGAGGCTACAATCGTGGCTGCGGTTGTGCAATGCAATGCATCCACTAGATGGTGCTACGCTGAAGGGAATACAATACAATACAGTACAGCTTTATTTACCGGTATATAGAGCCTTCACAATCGCTGCAGCTGTAACACAACTGGTCACAAACACCTATATATATGCCTATATTTTCCTCATGAAATATTAAAAATATCTGCAGGGCTCAATAAAATTTGGGAAACACTGCCGTCAATCTAGGGAGAATTTTGATACATAATTTATGCAGGTGTACTTTACATTGCGGCGGGTGGGGATGAAATTGATCATAATGCCACTTCTTTGAAAAGTGTAAAGCACGTGAACGTTGATTAACAATTTTATCTACAGCGGTCAGTGGCTGCATATCCTGCACTGAGATCCTGTGGGACTTCAAAGCCGATCTTGATGTGCAGGATGGGGTAGGTTCAAAAATGATGAGTTGGTATCATTGTTGCATTTATGCTCCGGTAATATGTTCATTTTTGTTTTTGTTTCCCCCCCCCCCACGCTGTTCAGGATGGAGCCACCGCCCTCATTCTGGCAGCGCAGATGACTCAAGCGGAGCTGTGTGTCTTTCTGCTGGGCCGAGGTGCCAATGCAAACATTCAGGACAACCAGGGGAGGTACACAACTCTTCATCTGTGCTGCAGCCTCAGCCGAAGGAGGCCGGCTGGAAGTTGCGTGTCTGTCAGTCTGGTCGTAGCAGCTGCTAAATTCCGGACAGATGGAGCAGGGCGAGAGCCGCAGACCTCTATGGGGCCATTATCGCACCAGTGGGGTTGTGCTGGTTGCAACAGAGGAAGGATTCATTCGGAGAGTCTGCGGCATTTGGATAAGATTTCAAGGGTGGTAGTTCAAGGCCTCTGGCAGGGATCAACAACTTTGATGTTGGAGGGAGCAAACATGTTGATTCGGTCTCAACCTGTTCGCTGGGAAAACTCCGCTCAGTATGACGCTGGCATTGAAACAAGAGTTGTGAAAATTCAGCGGGCGTGATCGGGATCTCCATGTCTGAGACCCTGAAGTGTTTATAATTGTATAACATAGAAATGGATCATTTGTAATGCAATGATTCCCTCCTAGGCACATTGGTGTGCCATGAGAGCTCATCGAGTGCGCTGCGGGAAATTATCTAATTTCACTCAGTTGGTCAGAAAATTATTGCCGCATTTTTTGGACGACAACTCTCCTGGGAATAAAAATCGCACCAGTCAAAAAGTGCATAATGAAGAAGAAAAAAAAACATGTCATTGTGGAGTATATAAGTTGCATTTGGGGGGAGAATTATTTTTGTTTAGATCAAAGAAGAAAAGAAAGGAGATCTACACTATGTCATTAGTTTGCTGCCACCTGTCACGGGAGCAAACTAAGGGACCGTGTCTCCAGCAAGTTCGCTAGTTTACCATGCAGTATCTGGCACAACAAGGATACTACTCCGACGTTAATGGTGGCCCGATGTCAAGGGGTCAGTTTGGGAGAACATGCAAACTCCACACAAAAAGGAATCAAACCCTACACCTCTGCACTGTGAGGCCGACGTGCTAACCAGTCGACCGCCGTGCCTCAGAACTATCTTCAAAAATTCATGAATAAAACAGTTGAAAGGCGCAAAATATGAAATGATGACTGATACGAATCACATCGTGAATATACGGGACCAATAGCGTTCCACAATTTCAGAACGAGGATTTTGAGTTCCAGTCTGAGCTCTAATTTTCATATACAAGTCACACTTGAGTAAAAGTCGCTGGACCCGCCAAACTATCAAAAAAAGTGGTTCATAATCCCCCCCCCCCGCCCCCCCTAAAAAAAACATCATTTAGTTACTCCAAATAATGCGCATGTTGAATTGTGATCCGTTTCTGTCTGCAATCAGGACTGCCTTGATGCTGGCCTGTGAGAGCGACAGTGCAGAAACTGTGGCCGTTCTACTGAGGGGAGGGGCCAACACGCAGCTGTTCGACGGCCTCGGAAACAAGGCGGACGATTACAGCCCTGACAGCCAGCACATCGTGCACATGTTGCAAAACGGAGCACCTCCTGGTACGTTATTAGTGTCAAAGTCGTTTCCGTAGGTGATCGAAAATGTATGAACATGTACTTGTGTATATGTGTGCACGTAATGACATGTATCTCAATGTAAGGAATTCTTCTCTCTCCTTCTGCATCCGTATTGTCAGAAGGCACAGGCGAGGAGGTAATGTCGCACGGCGACCCCGTTCCTCTCGGGCCGATCGTCATATTGTGCGGGTTTTACAATGCGACGTTACTACATGTCACGCTTTTATTCCTATTTGTAATTGAATCTGACCCGACCGTATCAAGACTTTCTTCATTTCCTTTTTTTAATTTTTTTAATCAGTCTCTTCCATTTTACCCCACCAATGCAGACCCACCAGAACAACTCACGGGCCTCACTGGTTCAAGGGGGTAGTACCCCTCGTAAAAGGAAAGCCCCTCCCCCACCACGCTCTCCTCTCCAGGTACTCTCAGCCTGTGTTTTCCAACCTTTGATTTAAATCATTTGTGTGTGTTTCACGCTTTGCATCACGATCATTCAGGATTTGCCGCCCAGCCCTCATCCACGTGGTCTGGCTCCCACCGTTCAGTCACCCAAGCCCCCTGCTCAGTCGCCTTCTCCTCAGCCTCAACAATCACATCAGGTTACTGATGAGTTTGTCTTGAAATCATTTAGTTTCACACACAGTAACATGAAGAATGAACACAAAGTTTTTATTTTGCCATAAGGTGGAAGACGAGGAGGTGTTTGAGGAGATTCGCCGACTACGTCTTGAGCGAGGTCGTCTACTCCAAAAGATAAAAGCCTTGGAGCAGCAACAACAAAGTGCCCTTTCTGCCTTGGAGGAGGTACTGCAATCATGATGCGCACTTAATGTATTTTTTTTTTAATTGTAAATTAGCTACACAATGTGACTCATTGTATGCTTGTCGCGCACGCACGCACACACCACATTAGCTGTCCCAACTGAAACGACGCCTAAAGGAAGCAGAGGCCGAGAGGGACACGTTGATCGAGGAGCTGAAGGGAGTCAATAGCGTTGGGGCAAGCGACTCTGAGGATATGGAGGAAATGTTTGACTTCCCAGGTATGTCATTTGTAATTCCCAAGCATCTTAGAAATTGCATTCCTAATCTGGGCAAAAGCCTGACATGGTATAGCTCTTCATCAAGTACCGAACATGGGTGGATGTGTTTAATGTGAAGGGAAGTTTTTGCACTCTTTCTGTCATGCTTTAGGATGCCACAAGATGGCGCCAAAGCACCGGATAATCGGAAAATAACAATTAGTGTCACCAAGGTACTGTATACTGAAGTGATGCATCTAAACTGGAGACTAAAATTTTTGTTTAGTAGCGTGGAGGTAAGTGAGGGACCAATTCCCCAAATAATAATTAGCCGAGGTTCACTGTTGAGTATTATGGCCAGATGTTCCAATACTTCCATATGTCCACATAGTGTGCCAGTTATTGTCAGCTTTTTGTTCTTGAACTTGCCCTCCAGAGAGGTTGCTCTGCAAGGGTTCCAGAGCCGCACCAGCTCGTGACGAGACCTCCACCGATGCGGAATCAGCCAGCCCGTCTCCCTCCCCTGCAGACCGCGCGAGTGCAGAAGCGTTACACCAAAAGATAGAGGAGCTTACATCACAGAACGCCGAGCTTATTCTCAAAGTTCAGGTACGAACGCTTATCAGCTTGCGGAGAGGACAACCTCAGACTCTCTTATGTGAAGGTGTCTTTTATGTCATGATGAATTTTGTGATGTCATATTCATCCAGTACGCCTCAGTTAGGACACGTGCGTTTTGGCTTCCTTCTTTTTTCCTTCCCTTTTTTTTTTTTTACCATACACGTGTATTAATCTTACTTTATGTAACGTGAAAAAGTAAGTTGCCACGCTACATATCTGGCTCCTGTATGTTTGCCTCTTTACAGATGCTGGAGATGTTTGAGAAGGACGACACCGATATGCAAAGCCCCGGTGCGGACTTTGTCCCTGTAGCGCAGTACGAGACCATTAGGAAGGAATTTGAAGCCCTGCAGGAGCGCTTCTCTCAGGCTCAAACGTTTAGTGGGGAGTCCGGTGAGGTGGAGGAACGGTAAGATGAGACAAGCATGGAACTTCGGTAATCCCACACATATTGGCGGCTCACAACGATACCAAACAAATCATATTGGCTTGCTGTGGTGACCCCTGTTGGGGACAAACTGCAAGTTTCAGCAACATCATTGAACAAATTTCAATTCAGCTTTCTTTCTGTGAGAGGTATCCTAGCTATTTGCCAAAAAATGAGGCCTCCGAAGCCATGCAGAAATAGAAATTTGTGTCGGGGATGTATGTTGAAGTGATGCATCTCATTTGAGAAACAAGGGAGGAGCTACGTTTTTGCCTGGATGTTAGTGGAAGTTATGGAGCGTCACGCCTGCATGCACTTCCTTTTTTTTTTTTTTTTTAAACAGTTTACACATTTAATACAGTGGACTAGATTAACTATTTCACGCGCCCTGTAATGTGATAAGCTGTGCACTGTAGTAACCGTTGTCATAGATTCGAAGTGAATCATACATTTGATTTGAGCTTTGTTTATCATCAGTGATCTTTGTTTTGGTCCGCAGTGGTGATGAGACATCTCAGGCTGGATCGTCAGAGAGCCCGGAGGCTCTGAAGGACAAGCTGCATGGCCTGCAGGTCCAATTGGCTTCCTCCAAGTCGGAGCTGGAGCAGCTAAAGGAGCAAATGCGGCTTGGGGTGTTCTCGGTGGAATGTGGCGAAGGGGATAAAGCTGCTGCAGCAGCAGGTGCCAGTGAGGTTCCAGACCCCGAGGCCCAGCAGCTGAGGGCAAGAGTGGGCGAGTTGGAGGAGGAGCTCGTTCAGAGCCGCGCCAAAGCGATCGCTCAGACCTCTGAGGACACTGACAGAATCAAACAGCTGACGGAGCGAGTCGAGCAATTCCAAGCCGCCCTCGTCCAGAAAAAGTCTGCAGGTGACGACCACTGGACAAAGTCAGGCGAGCAAACAGAAACTGTGAAACTTGGCGAAAAAGTGGCCGAACTGGAGGCGAGCACGGCACCGGGAGGGAGCACGTTGGAAGCCGCGGGAACGACCGGAGATCAGGTTCGCCGTCTTCAGCAACGTGTCGTGGACCTCGAGGGAGAGCTGAGGAAATGTGTGCCCCGTTCGGATCTGGAGGAGGTGCAGGTCACGCTGGGCCTACAATGTGAACAGCTGGCGAGGGAGAGAGCGGAGGTGGCGAGGAGGCTCAACGATGCCCTCCTGCAGTTGGAGAGGATAAGGCCTCCTACAAATGGCGAGGACGAGGATGAAGAGGAAGAGCACTCGGAGAGCTCGGAGCTCTCGGTCACATCAGGTCTGACATGCAGTCATCTGCCATGTTGTTTACCTTTTCGATTGGTGAAGGGGGGATGTTGCAATCAGAAACGTCTTTTTTTTGGTGGTGGTGGTGGGGGGAGGGGTGAAAAAAATTAAGGTTATATTTCCCAGTTATAGTCTAAGCCCTCAATCTATAATATCGAGATTTCTGTAAATGCCATTACTGCGACTGACCACGTTTCGGTCCAATCAGAACGTTCCAGACGAACGCTGGCCGCAGTCCGCGAAGAGCTGGAGGCGGCTCGTCAGGAAGCCGCCCAAGCTCTCGACTGCTTATGCGCCGAGCGAGAGAGCCGCGCCCACGACGCCCTGCACCTGAAGGATGTGATGCCTCTGTCCAAGCACAAAGAAGCGCTGGCCGCCGTGTCCGAGCAGCTAGCCCGAACACTACAGGAGCTTGAGCGGGAAAAGACGCTGCGATCAGATTCTGAAGAGCGGACGGCCAGACTAGAGGCCCAACTCGAAACCATACGTGAGGCTGTGCCAAAGGAGGAGCACGAGAAAGTCAAGGTTGGTGGCCAAGTCCGCTGGGATAGGTGCCAGCTCACCTGCCATCCTCATGAAGATGAAAATCAGTCATCAGTTGTTTTCTGTAACCCTTAACAACAAAATAAACCCAAGAGTTTACTTTCTACCCTGTAAGGCAGAGCTCCAGCGCTCCCTGCAAGCCAGCGAGAGCAGCGCAGCGGCAGCTCAAGAAGCTCTGAGTGACAAGGAGGCAGAGCTGCGTCAACTCAAGTCTGAAAAGGCCGCCCAACAGGGTCTAATCTCCAAGGAGGACCACGAGGCCCTGCGGCTGTCCATGCAGGCCGAGATCAACGCCGCCGCCGCCCGCCTCAACGACCTCACGCGCAAACACGAGAAGACCTGCACTGAGGTATGTACCTGTGAGCGCATGCGTGGTTTCCTGCAAACCCTCACAAAGCAGTCTTAGTCCACTTAATTGTGTCGGCCAGAATGAGAGTTAGGTTCCACCTTTATCTCTTTCCCGCCTCTGCATTATTCATTCCCCTCTCCGTACGATGGATACTGATGTACTCAATCGGTGGGTATTAAGTATAGCACTACATATGTGCACTGAAACGGATACTGCTGACTTTCACTCCCGATGGCTGAAGCTTCCACAAATTGCGCAGTCCAGCAAATGCCAACTTTCTTCCAGGCATGCTTTACATAGAAATAATGATTCACCCTTTCATGCACCCTGTAACCGAATAACATGGTAAGCTGTCCACTGTAGTAACCACTGTCCCCGAAAGGGTTAAATCAAGAGAAAACACAATAAATAAAAAGTAAGATGGAAAATTACACAACACCGCTGTGCTTGGTCAATAAAGTCAATAATCACATCTATATGACCGGAACACAGTTCCTCGAATAACACAGTGGGTGTCGCCTACCTTGCGTAAGGTGTTCCAAGTGCAGCGGGAGGCTCTCTTTCACAAGAGCGAGCGACAGGTTGCGGAGACTCAGTTGGCCGCTGTGCAGCAGCAGCTTCAAGAACTGCAAGCCAAGTCCAGTCACATCCAGGAACTCCATGCTAACATCCAGCAATCGCAAGGCCTGGTCAAGGAGAAGGACCGCAAGGTGAGACATTGCAAGAAAAAAAAAAGCAAAAGTATCGCCAACTTGGAATATTTGAATGTTTTTTTTGGGGGGGGGCTTCACTCAACCAGAGGAACAGAGAGGGCCTGGAGGCACTACTTGTTCCTCTTCAAGAAAAAGAAAATCTGTGGTGTTTTGCAGCATATCTGCGACTCACCACGTGCCCTGTTTGCGTTTTTTTAACCTTTCTGCCATCAGTTGCTGAAAATTTTCTTTGCTGTTTTCGTGCATGGGTCACAGAAATTTGAGGGCATCTTGTTAGTTAAAATGAGTTGTGGATCTTAGTTTTGAATAGTGCTTTGCTGCCATCTTGTGGTTAGTGTGCTAGCCTGTCTGAAAAGTATTATTTACTGCAAGGCTTCAGACTGCCCCAGAATGACGACATTTCCTGAAACGTCAGACAGTGCAAGTACATCTACTCACGCCATTGTGACCAGTAAATTTGCAGTTTTTTTTTTTTTTTAATTGAATTTTTTTGTTGCTGTCAAACTTCAGCTCCCAACTTCAGCCCATTTAGCAGTGATGCAGTGAAAATGATCGGCGTTAAGATTTACTTTGCAGGTCAATTTACGGTGTGTGCGCTCCTTAATTTTGTACTTACTGCGCTAAAATTTCAGGTTAGGGGCCACTGTACTCCGAGTAGAAAAAAATAGAGTCTGCAGGCCTGTGCTGCAAATTTAGGCTATATCTTTGCCTTTAATACGCTAAAAAAAATGGTTTCGTGAATTTACTCAGTATGGTCAAAAACGTATCTGGATCTGGATTATTTCATTTCCTACAACCACTTCATGAAATTAAATGGAGTAAATTCAACAAAAACGTTTTTCAGTGTAGTGTGTCATGACAGGCAGAACAATTGAATGGTCTTCCTCTAGGTGGGAGAAGATTCAAATCAACTGTCCTCACCTTTTACCATTCAGCTAAAAAAAATTGTTAAATCGTGGCTTCCTGTGAGTATACCGTCAGCATAATTTTACGTGCTGTACTATGGCAATTTTCTTTCGTAAAATATGCGCCAAGGTTCAGGAAAGGCCGGGAAAGGCTGCTGTAGAGGATAAACACAAGTGGAGACAACACTGAGGTACACGGAAGTGAAAATACTGCGAGGACACAACAAAATAAAAATAATAGATGGCCTGTTATGATTCCGAAGGCTTGGACGAGTGCGGATATGATTAAACGTGACCACTTCGAGCTCCTTAAAAAAAAACCCATTAACTGGAAACTGTTTCTGATGCAGATAATGGAGCTTTCAAAGGAGGTGTTCCGGCTAAAGGAGGCGCTTGGATCTCTGTCGCCTCCTCTCGGAATCATGTCCACGCATCCGGGGAACCCGGGACAGCGAATGGCGCTCCAGAACAGGGTTGCTGTACTTAGCCAACAGCTCCAGGTACCGAACAAATAATAATAATAATAATAATTTCTGAAAAAGATGTGTCGACATCATGCTTGTAGTTATTTTAGTATAATTATTGTTTTCTTTTTTTTTTCTTTTCATTCTTCAAGGATTGGGAAAGAAAGCACAAACAGGTCGTGGCTGTGTATCGTTCTCATTTACTGGCGGCTGTGCAGGTCAGAGTCTCGCGACACAAAATCACGTACACGTCACACGCGCGCACGCGAACACACACACACACACACACACACACACACACACACACACTGCTTCGCTCCAAAAAAAAAAAAAAACCTTGAGGTGGCCACTATGGGGGCACTTAAAATGTAGATGAGCCGAATTTGAATGTCAACTGAATGTCAATGTCCTACTTTTGTAGTTAGCTGGTGTTCAAGAAGCCGAGTTATTGCACAAAGGAGCTTTAGGGCCACACTGGAAAGAACGCAAAATAATACGAAAATAAAGATATGAGAGGGAAGCGGCCATTTTGTCATCTGAACAGAAAACAATGAAGAGCATAAAGACGAAATGTACAGTTACAAAAAAGCCATAAATATACAAGAATGTCATTGTTGTAATATTTGGAGATTAAAGTAGTCAGTGTCTGATAGATTTGATGCAAATATAACATCTTTTCACAAGAATAAATTCCTCATCATCTAAGACTGAAATGTCAGGAGAATAAAGTCATAAAGTTATTAAACTAGTTGTAATATTACAAGAGGTTTTTTTTTGTATTAGGAGTTCCGGTGTCATTTACGGGGGAAACATTCGACAAGAATACAAAGTCAAAATAGGAGTGTAAATGTGCGATATTTTAGAATAAGAACATAATGTGTTACTAGGAGAGAAATAATGAATTTCCCCAAATTGATAAAATTACAAAATAAAGTTATAGTAATACAAGGGGGGAAATTGTGACATTAGTAGAATAAAGTTGCAATATTATGATACAATATAATCAAAGGAAACAAACTGAAACTTGTCAAAAGTAGAAAGTCATGATCCGCAGCTGTTAACACTGTGAGAAAATATTTACAATATAATGATAAATCCAAAATTAGACTAGGAAGCCTTAACTTTTGAGCGCAAAGTGCTGATATTACAATTTAGAAAAATATTATTTGAAAAGAATCAGTCAGAATAAAAAAAAGAAATAAAATTATTACAGTTAAGTTGAAATATTACCCCCCCCCCTAAAAAAAGGAAGTAGAAAAATTATGGGATGGGGGGGATACACACTGGACTGTTACGATGTGAATCACATTGCCTTTTGAATGCCACTACCCTCCCCCCCTCCACACACACACAAAAAGTCCCTGCAGACTCACTGACTAATGTGATGTCTTAACATGCACACATCAGCATTCCCAATCGAACACTAAGTCGCAGTGCGTCTGTCCAACAGGGTCGTATGGACGAAGAGGTCCAACGTCTTCTCCTGCAGATCCTCAGAATGAGCCAACAGGGTCAATGATGTCCACGTTGCCCATCGTTGGAGCTCATCGGGTCAAGCATACAACTTTGCTACGGACAGATGGCGAGCTAAAATATCGCACACCATGTAAAGCACACCTCCTGGGGGCTGTAAGTAACCGAGGGGATGACACTAGCAATGCTGAGGCATCATGAAGGCTTATTCTTTGTTCTTTCGACAAATGAATCACATGCTCAAAAAGAAGTGTGTGTATTCTGGGAAAAATTCTTGTCCCATAATTGACCTCCCAAAACTAGCTCCACTTCACATCATAACAGGATACATCACAAAGTCGCAAGGACCCATGCCTTACATGTAACACTAAGTCGACCATTTTGATTTGAAGCAGCCATTTTGGGTGAATTGTGGGGTTCATACTTTGACAATACAAACACTTCATTTGGTCCAAAAAATATTTTGTTCATCAATGCCAGTGATAAAGTGACAGGCAGAACAATGAGATGCTCTTCTACGAAAAAGCGGAAGGTACATTATTGTACTTGCGTCTCCCCCATTTTTTTCACATTTATGTCAAAAGTCTAACAGTTATTTTCAAGATTCACCATGAAAAGGAGCGTTTGCAGCTTTATTCGCCTTTGTGCTTCTTGCCGGAAAAGCGGCCAATATTTTACAAGCAATATGTGTTCCGCTTGAAGAAGGTTTGCTACTATAGACAAGAATCATATTTGCTTCAGCCCACATCAAAGCTGTAAAACCGTATCACGATACAAGTGTGCTGTGCCTTTTGGTAAAAGCCAGTGTGTGATTGTTATTTTTAGAAGATACAATTTTGGGATTGACCTCCCTTTTTTTTTACTCCGTATTTTCCCTTTTTGGTCCAAAATAAATCCGTAAAAAGTCATCTACTGGTGTTCCTGTTCACTTTAGCACATGTGAATGTTAACGATGATTTGAAGCGTGGAGAGATTTTTGAGGAAGGCGTATCTGCACTAAGCTTTCTTGTTGAATGACATTTCCGCCATGGAGGTTAACAGCCACTAAGCAGGTCCAAGTTAGACAAGCAAGTAAATGCTGTTTGTTCGCTCAGATAGCCAGGGTGCTAGCATCAAAAAAGTATTACCTTAATCTGTGGTTTTCTTGAGATTTCTCTGCACCATGTGGCCTTCTGGTCATTCCTCTTTTTTTTTTTTTTTCTGTCAGGGGTTTCACCTGTTATCTCCTCCCCACTTCCTGTTCCTTGGTTCAACTTCCTGTTATGTTTTGTTTTTTCTCTCCAAAAGCTTCACCTTTATGTCACCATATTTACAAGACTGCTGGACTTAATCGCAGTGTCGCTGTGAGCGAGATACTGACATGTGATTCTACGCAGTTTTTACATTCAACAGTTTTTTTTTTTAAATGTGAGAACACCCAAAGACGAAAGAAAAAAGGCAAGTGTATTGTGCGTGCAACAGAGGGCATACTACAAACTGCCCAAAAAAATACAAAGATGAAATATGAATAGTTCAACTATACAACATAGTATGATTCCAAAAAAAGTTTAATATCATGTCAAACTCATTTTACAACATTACCCCTGAAAATGCATTAAATGGCTTTTGCGTTCTCTGGTACAACCCAGGCTAAACTTGGCTCCTCCCAAACATACAAAGCTTGTCTCTTTAATGCGATGTATCACTTCAACTTCTTTGAGGTATCAACTGTCTTTTTAAAACCAAAGTGAATTCAGAACTCGTGAGCCACGAATGTGTAGGGATTGCTGTAGTATGGTTATTGTCAACACTTTTTTTTCTTTTAATCAGAGATGCAAACAAACCTTTGTAGTTAATTTTTTTATTGTGTGTGTGCTGATTCCGAATTTGGCCTAGTTTTCTCTCTTTCACATCAGGTTTTCATTAATAATAATAATATTTATGAATTAAGGGCAAGGTTCAGCAAATGGTGTGATTTTATTACTCAAAAGTCATAGCCATAAATTCCAATGCATAGTAAAATCTGTATTGCGCAAGTTTTTATACGTCAAAGCTAAAAAAAAAAAAAAAAAAACCTGATGTGCTAGAGAAAAAGTAAAGACATTTTTGAAATCGGTATCGAAAATATGTAAAGGAAAATAAAAGGCCTTCATTGATTACCAGAGAAAAACAGCGTTTTCAATGTACCGCTCACCACAGGATTAAGCGCTCAGAATCATCTTTCAGAGAAATCCCATAATCGGGCCGTTGCTGATTTTGATCAGAAAGAAAGGAAAAAGCTCAAATTCATCCCAATTATCGGTTTGTGCGGAACTCGCTTAACACCTTGAGAGTACCAGTAAAATGTTTTCCCTTACTGTGAGCAATGTTGTAAATGAAGCGCAGATGAGAAATTCCTGAGAAAGAAAGAAAAATGAGAGTTGCGATAAGGCTGTTCAAGGCGGTGCATTCACTGAAATTACAGACAGGAGCAGCAGAAAGTCATCCTCATATCTCAATAGCGACCACTCAAGAGCGGCAACACCAAACTGCCATTCAAAGATTGACCACAAAAACATGTTTAAATAAAGAAAACATGTCACGTAATCCATGTTTGTATGACTGGACCCTAAAGGGAGTTAGCAACTGTGGGCACAAACAAACACAAGCCATCATTCAGATATTATTATAATTATTATTCTATATTGACCTTAAAATGAGCAGCTTACATTCCTGTTTACAAGTACACAAGCAGAATCATCTTTAAGTTTGTAAGGTCATTCATTGGCATTGCGGAAAAGAGTCAGTTCGCAACAAGGACACCCACGCACATCCTGGACACTAAATGTTTGCCCCGCGTGGTTATTAAGGCACTGAAGTTGGACAGGTTGGGGGGAAGCAGGGGTAAGGTTCTTAATGTGCTCACTGGTGATTTGATTTGACACACCTATAACCATTTAAGGAGATCCTGTTGACTTGCTTTCACAAGAATGATAATGCTCAGTTTGGAGTTCAAGAGAGACACATTTCATGTTTATTAACTGCGGTGTCCAACTGAAACACATCCCATTTTCCGTGTATAGATTGGCAAATCTGATTGGTCCGGTGATTGCTTATCGTGTAAATGCTAATTAGAATTCCTTCAGACATGGATAATATTCGGGTAGATTAAGATGATCCTCAATGGGGTACCTACATTTGTATTAATGATGTCCAATGAACTTAAGTTTTCTTAACCCTTTCAGGGACAGCGTTACTACAGTGGACAGCTTTTCATGTTACCAGGTTACAGGGTGCATGAAAGGTTGAAATACTTTTGATAGTATCGAATTTCACTGCAACCACAATAATAAACACATTATTGAATAAAACTGTGCATTATTCCCTCGGTATAGACTGTATTCCAGTACTGCACAGTCCTTTATTGTAGTGGTCCCCAACCATTTTTGTGCCACGACAGGTTGAGTTCGCGGACCGGCAACCATTTTTTTCATCGCTTTTAAATTGCCAGTTTGAAAGCACTGCTACTGACAACGATAATTATTGAGTAATTCAAAATATAACACGGTAATTCACTACGAAATGGAGCAATCAGGAATAATAAAAACGTCTTAAAATGAAAACATAATTTTAAAATTACGATCCTACATACGGCGTTAGCTTCATTGCTACTTGTAAAATGGGACACGACTGATTGCTGGTTTCATCCGTTGGCTGCCGGATAGTTCTTAGCGACCAAATTGGTAATGTTTATTGTGCAAACTTCTCCGATTTTTTTCATGCTTTCCACTTGATCACCTGGGTGCTACTTGTTCAAATAATTCGACAGGTTTCGTGTATCGTCGTGTTTTTGACGGAGCATGCACGACAACGTCCTCCTTTCACGTCCCTCTGGTGATACCGCGGGTGGAGGAACATCTCTTGTCAAAATAGCTTCATCTTCGGAAGTCAAGGCTGCCCATCAGCTGCGCGATAAGATGTTCGTTTGCTCAATTTGTTGCTATTACTTTCTCAGTACAGCTTTGGTCAATTTGTTGCTATTACATTCTCTGTACCGCTTCTTCTTTCATTTATTGGCAAATTCTGTTGATTTCAAATTTACAACCAAGGTTAAAAGAAGGACTACGATTGGCTAGAGTCGCGCACTTTTCTACGTCACGTCTGATGGAGAAAATTTGCTGAAAACTCGCCGTTCTGTCTCTTTGTGGCCCGGTCCTTAACGGGCCGAGGTTCGGTGGGGAAAACTGCTATATCGGACCCTTTTTTTTCTCGCATTGAATACATAACGGTGACGATAAAGTGGCCGGTGAGTATACGCCATTTGTAATAAAACACACAAAATGACCCATTAAGATATAGTGAATCCCGTTGACAGTGCATCATTGCAGCTTTGGTGCTTTTGGTTAGCAGGGACATATACAAACAGTTCTCGCAGTCTTTTGTTTTTTTTTGTTTTGTTTTGTTCCTCCAACAGAGTCACTCATATGAATTAAGTTTGCAACTATGTGTGCAACGAACTGGTTGAGAGGTAAGTCATTGCCAAGCGCGGGCGGTGACTGTAAAACAGACATGGAAATCCTGGAGGTCCTCTGTTTAGCTGAACAGCTGCATGCTGGCCAGGGACAGTTTTGACGACATGAATATCCAAAAAGGCGACGACCTCTCTCTCTCCTTTTCTGTCATTTAGTCACACAAGTGTCCCCTTGGAATAAGCAGCCCCCTTATTTGGTTTGCACTAGAAGAAGATAAAAATAAACAGAAAGTTGGGATTAATTTGATAGTGATTAAAGCCTTGTAGATGGAGCGAGCACTCAAGTACGCTCACATATAGGTAGGCCGACACAGCCAGTAACACACCAGAAGATAAGAAACCCGACTTTATGAAATATTTCCATGGTAAATGTTACAAAGATATTGCCGTGATGTTTATGAATCAGAAGAAAATTGATCAATGTTTGTTGGATATAAAATCTTAAAGTTCAGTTTTGAGATTGTCGGCGAAAGCGAAAATAATTTGCGATACAAGTTATTAGTTGAATATTGAACGTATGCACTGTAAAATAAAATATGAAGTTATTGCCAATTAAAATATGAAGTTAAGATTCTCTAAACCCAAAAATATAGAACGAATAAACAGAAAAAATGTCAGGTTAATGTTGATGGTTGCTAATAATAGTTGCTAATGCATGTGTACCTAATATTGTGGCCTTGAAGAGGACTGCGTGAAGAAGTGAAAGACGCAAATTGCATATCCCGGTCAAATAAATGAAAGGCTTTGCGAGCTATATTCACGAGCTCCCATCTGACTTGCTTCTTATTATCCCTTTTGTTCCATACTTACCGTCCCAATGAGGGAAAAGGTGGGCAAATGGCTCATTGTTTCCTCCTGACCACCTGCTTGAGGTGGAGCTCGCTCTCGGCCGCCACGATAGGCAGCTCGTTCTTCAGGTGGTACGCGATAAGGTGGCTGATGCTCTCAAATAACATGTCTTTAGTCCGGACCTTGATATGAAATAAGCACCACAAAGAATATGGATTGCAGGACACTGTGTCAAATCCGGAGGTGGGACGAGAAGGCAAAAGTTTGACTCATGGAAACGGGGCTAGTACTGTAAAACAACACACTCGGGTGCATTCGTGCTGTCATGGATTTCCATTTTTTTTTTAATAGGATTATAAATATACTTTATTTTTTCCCCGAGTCCATTTCAACTCACCACTCCCTCAGGATCTACGAGAAGCAGATGTTTTGGCAGGCCGCAGTGCATGCCCGTCAGCACGTATTGGCCTTGGTTGGTGGTGCTTTCCCGCACGAGGAAGTCACCGTCTCGGACAAGCAGCTTCTCGGCATCCCGCCGGCTCATGCGGCTGTGGTACCAGGTCTCCCGCCGAAGTTGCTCCTCATTCGGGGCAACGGGGGCCCGACGCCGCGGAGGACTGGGCCACTGGTCTTCCAGCAGCGGCACGCCTCTGCCGTCGGCCGCAGTGACACCGCTGGCCTCGTGCAGTCTTAGGGCGTCCTCAAAAGGCCCTGCAGGGCAGCAAGAATGAGAAATAACTCGGTCTTATCTGTTAAAAGACAGTCAATCCCTCCCGTGTGCATTCTATAAAATTAAAAAAATAGTTAAGAGATGATTTAACTCTTTCGTGCACCCTGTAACCTGATAACATGAGAAGCTGTCCACTGTCGTAACCGTTGTCCCTGAAAGGGTTTAACATAAATTCCCCTGAAGTGCATGTGTACAAAACTTCCGCTAACAACCCAGGCTAAACTCAGCTTTCATCGACACGTTCGTCTCTCACTCGAGATGCAAAGTACAACTTACTTCTTTGACACCAATTACTACTTTCATTCCATGGCGCCTTATAGAAAGCGCAAATAAGGAGCGGTTGTTGGCTTCAAATTACCCAATCATTGACTGCGTATCAAATGTGAAATATGAGTACTAACTCATGTCAAAGAGGTCCTTCTTCGGACTGTCGGGCCCCTTGGCCCCTCTCTGTCCTCCATCGGGGCCGTGAGCCAGAGAATCCAAGTTCTCCAAACTCTGCGTGTTCACGTACTGGTGCTCCTCGTAGTCTTTATTGCCAGGCGGCTGGCCATCAGCGCACAGGTAACCATCTAACACACACACACACAAAAATATAATATTTACTCAAAGGTTCCTCATGTGGCCACTGAGTGTCTCACCTGAGCCACTGCTCGCATCAACGTCCCACTGAAGTTCATAGCAGAGCTCGCTTGCATGGAGAGTCGCTTGCTCCCTTTTTGCTGGTGAGCCCATCTAGGCACAAATACACGCTCATAGTAAAAAAAAACAAAAAAAAACCCAACAGCCCATCCATCCTAAATAATGCACGAACATCTCCCTCATCACGCCACCGCACATAATGTAGTTTGGAGGCACTCTATTTGAAACCCAAGCCACAGCACGTTAGCGTGTTTTCCCTCTCGCCCAGGGTCGAGCGGATCAAAGTGAGTCATATTTGTCTTTGGGCAATTAAGGTGCGGCAACATCACAGGCTCTGAAGGGAAGGGAGTCTGTTTGTTGTGGGAACTGTAGTGGGAGTCAACTGAATCGTATCATACGAAAAGGTATTTCGTTATCTTATGTTTTGGTTACTTTTAGATCAGTGAATCCCAACCACTGGGCGGGCCACGGTACATTATGATACCATTGGAGATCATCTTTCTTTAGCCGTGGGAAATGATCTATGTACTGTGTTTCCTAAAAAAAAAAAAAAAGCATTTTCATTCGTTTATCTATGCCCGTGCGTGACCTAAAGTGCAGCTGGAAAGTCTTCACAGCGCTTTACTTTCTCCACATTTTATGTTTCAACCTCATTCCAAAACAGAATAAATGATTCTTTTCCTTTCCCCTCAAAATTGTTGCTGCAGTATCATGCTATGGGGATATTTTTCAGTAGTAAAAATTTACTCTTAACTCGCCCGCGGCCTGATTGAGGCCACGTGGTGACAATTTCGAATCAAAGCTCCAGTCCCAATCCCAATTTCCAATGTCTGCTATCACTTACCAATTGTGATGCCCTGCTTTGCGGCTGTGCGTGGATGTGAGCTAGCTGAGATTTACTGGGCCGCAGTCTGGAGTCCACCACCCCACCGACGGGAGGCTCCTTGCCCGGGATGCTGTTGTAGTAGTCATGCTCTGAGAAGTCGTCGTCGTCGCCCCACACGGGCTCTTCTGTCCGGAAGGATCTGAGGAAAAACAAACAGCCCATTAACATCCACGCGCAGAACGCAATAGATTGGATCCGCTCTATTTTAGTCGCAATTGATCCAGCCTGAACTCTTGTTCCCATTTAATATTTATTTCACTTTTCTTTTTAACAGGGTTGGCAACGTTTGGCCTGAGATTTGTTGTATTCATTTAATTTTTGCTCAAATTGGTGATTCAAAATGCATTTCTTTGTTTTTGTTATTTATAATCTACTTTAACCCGTTTTTTTTAAATTACAAATGCTCTGGTCCACCTCCTCATTTTCAACATCAAATATGGCTCTTGACCACCAAAGTTGGCCCGCCCCCACCGCCTAACAAGATTATAGCAACAGTGGCAATAATATAACGACGATGTAGGCGTTCGATTGGATTAAGCCGATCAGATGTCATCCCCACATCTGAAGATGATCTATTTGGATCACCACCGCTGCCGAGCACTGCAGACAGAGCCAGCGTCTGCGCGTTGTAATGGGAATGAGTCTACATCATATCAGCAGTTTCTATTTTTGTGCCCCTTTATTGTTACTTCCTATCAATAATGCAGTCAATTAATTTTTCCGCTGCTTGAATATATTACTTGCTTCACTTTAGATGGACAGGCCTGAAATTTGCGCATACGGGGACAGCTTTAAGACCGTGGCAGGTTCTGTTTGGCAGATGTTGTTTTGAACTGTTCTCGTGGGTTGGTTTGTCCAAAGCCGTTTCCCCAAACAGGAAGTCCACCATTTTAGTATGAAGAGTGCTGTATTCAGAATTGTAAGGCACTTCTTGACATTTTTTGAGTCAAATCTTATAGCACAAGAAATGGTCGGCAAAGAGCTTCCACAGCATCATTGTTCAAAGGGGTCTACCAGAAGTGGAGGGAATTATGAACAGTTCCAATTCAGTATCATCACAAAACAGCTTCTGCTCGAAAGCAAAAAAAAAAAAAGTCAGGAAAAACCTAGAACAGGTGAACTTTAAGGTTACTTTAAATTCCACTTTGAAAAAAAAACACTTGAAATGCTGGCAGTTGTGTGCTCACTCCAATTCAAAATGATTGAATGCGATGCGGAATTCGGAACTTATAAGAGAGTGTGTACACTTGTGTTACTTCACCTTTCAAAAAAGATATCCTGTATATATTTTTTTCAATGAAGCTGGACAGGTTAGAGTTCATGTTAATGGTGGGAAAAGTTTTGAAATGATTTATTTGGTCATTCCTAATCACAAACCCCGTAGCATTTCAACAGGGGGTGTAGACTTTTGAGAAACACTGTATGTGTAACGTGGAGTACTCAGTATGGGTAAATGGTACACATTTGTCGATTTTTCTTTTTTGTTGTTGTTGTTTTTCTCCCCGCGTCATGTTTGGGACCTCATGTCTTCCAGATGAAGGTGATTTAAAAAAAATAATAATAATCATTAAAAGTGTAACCAACCCATGCTGTACATTTACCTGTCCAAAGACGTCAGAGTCTTGGGTGGACTGTGCAGATACTGTTTAAACTGCAACTCGAAGGCTTGGCCGATGGTACTGATGACATTCTGGGCCAAACCGTCCGAGCACTCCAGAATATGACACGCTGGCAGAGGGAAGGGGGGGGGGGGGACACAAGCCATTGGTCCACTGTGCGTTTTAAAAGCCACAAACTTGAGTTGCTGGTGGATTTTCGACTACCTCTCTGATTCACCGGGTCTTTTGCCACGTACGCAACATAATCGGGTGCGTCCTGCGGAAATAATAGAGAAAGGCATTAGAGAAAGATGCCGACGACGGTTGGACAACATTGCGACCGAACGCTCGACTGACCGTGTCCCCGCCGGAGGCGAATGAGATGGACTGCATGGGGTGGTGGGCTAACATCTGGAAGACAATCACACTGATGATTATGGTGGGCATGCTACGATCTAAAAAGGGAGTTTTCAAACTTTTAAGCTCCGAGGTAGAAATGCTACACACTGGGTAATTGGAACTTTTGCCATCAAGTGGACAAGCATTCAATTGTCCTTTCTGTCGCTATCCATCACTGACATCGACAGATGAACAAAGATGCATAAATAAGGACTTTCAGAGCAATTTAGTCAAGTCGGGTAATTTCCCATGGTACTTGGGAATCCCTGAATAGGTGCTTCTACCTGTCGCGTGGTAGGAATGAGCAGTCCCAGTCCGTCTATGGAAACGTTGACCGCGATGCTCATGCCGGCAAAGCGTAGGTTGCTCTTCCCCATGATGGACTGAAGCGCTTTGTTCACAGCCTGTAACAATGGCAATGAGTTGAGACTGCATCGAAGAGATGTCACGTGCCACCAATGTGACTCTGACATAGCATATGTAAAATACGATCATTAGGATGGAGGAAGGGGATGCATTTCGCGACTGACCTTCTTCCTCCATGCGCCTTTTCCACCCGGCACGGCGTCACAGAGCCTGTTGATGGCCTCCCTTAATTAGCGGATTGAAGAAAAGGTCAGAGAGCAAGTTATCCTACCGACGAGAGCCACCATTCAATCACTGGCAGATTGGCTGGAAATCGATGCCCACTGGTCACTTCATTAGGTACATCTGCGCATTCAAAATAATTACCCAAAATAGCATTTTTTTTTTGTTAATGGAAAGATAAGTGTTGATGTATTTGCTCAACATAAAAAATTTAAAAAGCTGTTTTAAGAGAAGTAGATTTTGTAGCGAGGAACACAATGTCAATATTTTTTATTAAAAAGGTGAACGGATTACGATTGATAAATGAATACAGTAAATTTTAGAATCTTGCAAAAATATAGATGAGAAATCAAAATAATCCGAACAAATATGATATAATCATAATAATCCAACTGAATGTTCTATTTTGATTTCGCCAGTGTACCTAATGTAGTGGCCAATGACACTAGCATCGTAACGAGTGCCCCAAATCACAATGAAAAGATGTGACTGCATCAGGTGCTAAACAGAGCCGTTTTATCACCGATTTTTTACGACCTCGTTAAACGGCCCAATGATCAAAATTTCAAGCGTGAATTGCTTCGAATTTCCCCACATTTCTCAAGAACACTGTCGCAGCGCCTCCCAGGAACGACGAGCAAACGGACGCTTGTCTCTGTGTCAGGCGGTGGAGGGAAGCAGACGCTCGTTGCCTCGCCGTCATGGGACGCCAGGGACAGCAGTCAAGAACCCGGCGGCCCCTATCGAGTGGCTCGTAAATATTTAAAAAGCAGCAGCAGGCCCAGGCTTTGTCTTGAGTCAAGGTCTTGCCCCCCCCCCCCTTACGCAACGCTGTTCCGAATGATTCACACCGGTGTGGACAGTTGTCGTCGTTGTTTTTGTCCGCCCGCGCTCAGGCCCGTAAGATGGCGGGTGTTGTTGTTTAACACCACCGACAAAGACGGCAATGTCGGATGGCAACGTTCTGGACAATGAACTGCTTTCTTGACACCTGACCTTGCATTTGTGCTCTGAAAAATCTGCCACATCGACTATAATACAAACATTGATTAAAATGGTCCAGTTTTCACTCCTGGCCTTGTGGGTGACAGCTTTTTTTTTTTTTTTTTTTTTTAAAGGTGAGTCCTGCCAACAGGCAGCGTTGTGCATACATTACAGATTACTGCCTGCCCATTATGAAGACGGACAACGCTTTCCGCCAGCGAGTAACAGAGAATTGAAATGACCGAGTTCAGGCAAAGTGCAATTTGCATTCACGTGCTGTCGTTGAACTGCTTGGTTTTATCCCACAGAACCTTACATTTGGCAAACGCAGACCGAGACGGCCTCTCGTATGTTTTTTTCCGAGTTCTAATCCGATTTCTTGGGGGCTGAAATGCTGACATTTTTAGGCAGACACATTTATCATTTTCGCTGGACTTCAAATGTTGCTTCCATGTGTGTGTGTGTGTGTGTGTGTGTGTGTGTGTGTGTGTGTGTGTGTGTGTGTGTGTGTGTGTGTGTGTGTGTGTGTGGCAGCGATGCTCATTCATCTGCGTCGCTTCGTTCTCCAGGCACTGAATCGACTGCAGCTGGACTGTTCCTTTTATTCACTCCCGCTTGTGTTATGAATATGTTGGGCAAGGTTTTCGATACATCTTCATTTTATTTAATGAAATCCTTCCTGTGGATGGTATGATAAACAATGACTTCTCTTCCAAGGCTCACCTCGCTACCTCTGAGTTGTGAAGTTCCAGGTGTGGGAATGCGCCCCCGGTACCCGTGGTTAGGTTTGGCGTTTATCGTTGGCTCTTGTGTTAAGATTACAGGTTGTTATGCGGCTGAGTAAGAATTAAAAATCAGGATTTAGGTTCATCGTTCAGCGATAGTGCAAAGTGGTAAGGATTAGTAAGGCGAAAATTTGTAACTTTTCTTTCCATGTATTGTTATGTTTTGTTGTTTGGTCCACCCCTCCTCCTCCTCCTCGCCCTCACAAAATCATCCACTCCGACATTATCCGGCAGGTTCAACGTTGGAACGCTGCAGCTTTCCACAGTCATTAGTGAACATCATCAATAATAGATGCCACCCTGCTCTATCACTCCATCACTTCTATACCCTCCCCCACCCCCAAGTTCACTTTAGACGAGCAGGCTCACATTACTACCAATCGATTGAGTGAGAGAGAGAGAGAGAGAGAGATGAGGGGTAGGAGGAGCGAGTGCGTCTCGGGAGAGACTGAAGCCTTACTGCGACGACGATAACATTGTGTGTGTCAGGCACAAAAACACAACAGCTTCATCTCGTGACCTGACTTGGGATGGCAAACTGCAGCGGAAACATGACATTTATTCCCAAAAGCAAAATCTTCCAAGATTGCTCACCAAAAACCGTGACCAAAACTCAAACTCTTCGCAATTTTTGGATTTGTGTTGTATACATGGTTCAAATTTGGTAGCTGTTGGATTAAAACTCTTGCCGTAGTTTGTCTTTGTGGGACCCCTGGAAATGATCAAAATAGCCCTTAGATTAGTGCTTCAAACTAAAACGGCAGACTTGCTGTGTCTTTTGGGACATGTGTTATTGAGACATTTTTTTGTGGGTCAACTCATGACAGACATGCCCACCAAATTTCCTGTTGTTTTAATGAAACATTTAATCAAGCTCTGACTTGGCAGAGTTTCCTGGTTGGTGGGAAGTTAACAAACTTCGCTCCCGTGCTTCGCCAACGCGTGACAACCAAAACTCAAATTCAGGCATCCATAGGAACCCTGACATTAGCAGACATGCCTACCAAAACTTCCTGTTGCTAAGTAAAACATTTACTGAAACTCTGACTTTGGAGAGTTTTCTGTTTTATGGGGAGTCACTAAATATAGCTGCCCTCCTCCATCTGTGAAATTTGTCTCAATTTAGCATCGCTCATCTATCTGGTGTAGGTGGTTCATCTGGCAGACTTCCATTTTCGGGCATGGTTTCTTGAGACTTTTTTTTGTGGTTCCACTCAAACGCATCATAGACAGCTCCACCACATTTCATGTAGCTTAGCAGTCCTCAGCCATTTTTTTGCCCCATGGACCGGTTTAATGTCAGACAATGTTTTCAGAGACCGGACTTGAAGGTGTGACAGATAAATACAACAAAATATGATATGACCTGCATGAAAATTGGTATTTTCGAAACATAATAATAAACACAAATCATGACATGAGGAACGTCCTCACTCTCTGGTCGCTATGGTAATGTTTAAACGTGCCTTCAAAATAAGATACAAAGTGCATGGAAAATACGACTCACCATCGCCGCATATGATGCTGAGTGGGCTTGGTGCGTGGGAATTTCCCATTGAAATAGTTCCGTATTTTAAGTAGAAATCCTGAAACTGTCTGTTAAATGTAGCCTTCTTTTTCTTAAAAGTCATAGGCTCCTTTTCTGTCTCCTGGCTGGGCCTTTTCCCCTCACTTTCCAAAGACGTTTGTTTTTTACTCATTTTGCTAGCTCCTGGGTTTCATTTTAGCACTAACCTATCATGTGACCGAGAAGTGCACCTTGACCTGCGTCAAGGGTGACATACTGTCGACGCATGTAACAGAGAATCCGGCAATTTTTCAAAATGAAACATCTTTCAGCTTCTGAAATAAATACAACGGAAGTAATGTAAGTTATTTATTCTTTCTGTGTGGCCCAGTACCAAATGACCCACGGACCAGGACCGGCCCGCGGCCCGGGGGTTGGGGACCACTGATGTCGCTGAGTGAAACTGTCTTCAAGAGCTGGTTTGTTTTAAATAGTCCAGTGTTTGCTGCAGAGACAATTTTGAGGGGCTAAATTCAATTTCACGTCGTCGTCAGCGGATAATCCGAAATTCAAACATCTGTGCACAAAATCCTGAAATCGATGCCAACCCCTTCTTCTCCAAGTGCACACGGCGTTCAGAGCAGTGTGACATCACGGTGGCTAAATAGCTCACCTTGCATAGCTTAATGTACGATTATCTCGCAACTCAGTTCGTGAGCGTTCTTACCTTGTCACCTGAGTCCGCGTATTGAAGTCCAGGGAGCGCATTGACTTCAGCACTTCAATGCAGCCCATGTACTGCGCACACAAACAAATAAACAAAATAGTCAGCATTGTGTGTGTGAGTCCAATTGTGCCATTCGGATAACGTATTGCATGGAAGGGTTAAAAAGAGGCGAGAGGGATTCTCTTGAGATGGAGAAGAAACAAACATTGCATCATGTCATGCTGTCATCCCAGAGTCTATTTGTAACCCTGCATGATGTGAATTCCACGAATAGAACCTCCAAGTGAACGCCGGCCAGCGGAGTCGCATCCTAATGCACAGCAGGCCGAGGTGCTAATGGCACCTTGACTGGATTAGAAGCACTCAAAGCTCCCGGACACGGACAAACTGGAGCGTCTCACGTCTCTGCCGAGTGTCATCAGGATGCCCTTCATTGAACCAACTCGTGTGCGCAAAAGGTGCTAGAAAACCAGTAACAGTTTAGCTTCAAACGCCCTTCCCACACATATTGGAAACAGATTTCAGCGCAAGACAAAAACAACAATGTCAACACCTCCCGTAGACTATTGTAGGATTAAGAACGTCTGCAGCAGTTCTGATCCTATCCATTATTGGGTTCATCCAAGAGAGGGGAAAATAGCGAGGCCTTTGAGCCCGACTGCTTAATGAGCCTCATAACGAAATTTGAAGATGGGGGAAGTCTTCCATCAGGCAAATTGACTCTCCCTCCCCCTACCCCCCTCTCCCCCTGCGCTTTTTCACTGAATGCCTCCATTGTCAAACACACGCACGCACACACACACACACACACACACACACACACACACACACACACACACACACACACACACACACACACACACACACATCTGCTGATACAACTCATCGTGTCTTCCAGCCGGCCTATCTGCTCCCCTATCTGTTTGACTGCAGGGACTGTGACGTTCCAAGAAGTATTCCTGGGAAATTCGATAACACTGTCATCTTCTTTTCAAAAGGTCTTGTGTGACGCCTGCTGTTTTTTTTTTGGGGGGGGGGGTGGTTTGTTTTGTTGCATTTTTATTGGTGATTAAATGCACAACAATTTGACATTTTTCCCTTCAAAATGACAAATTAGCTTGGAAAAATATGTGACTTTATTTTCTTAAAAATATGATTCATTTCAGAGTATTTCATTTTATGTGGCCCGCGAAAGCAAATCAAACATGTCAACATCCTTGATGCTTGCTAAAATCTGCACCAAAAATTTAAATTCTCACATGTAATAAAGAAAAGAAAGATTGTACGCAAAAAAAAAAAATAAAATAAATTGTTTGAGATCCCAGGTAGACTTTTTCTTCTGTAATGGATTTTACATGATATATTGCTTTCATTTTCAGTCCTCATTTGGTGTTAAGATATTATATTGTAACTTCAATCAAATTCATTGGCGCAAATCATTTTGTCACTTATGGTCGTTAACGTCCGCTTGCATCGGGATCGGGCAATAACCCACCAGCACAAAAATGTTGGAAGTCAGTCATCTACAAGATTGGAGTGCAATATTAGATTCTTTCATCAAGTGAAGTGTGAGCGGGCATGTTCAGGATGATTCAGCCTGGGCACTCGGCTGATTGCCAATCAAGTTATCTTGGTGACGGCGTGCGTTTCGGTACATCATCGCTACATTATTGCTTCAGAGCCGCATCGCACTGTAAAGAGCGGAGTCGTCGTCAAGTGAAAACATACTTTAGAATCACGCTTGCAGGAGTGTGTACGGGTGTGTTTGGGTTCGAGTGAGCGACAGTGTACGCTCTTAATAAATAGCCAAGCACAGCAGAAATCCAATCTCGCTTTGACACTAACATACGCAGCGAGTATCCATCACGTGTGGATCTTCATGTGGTTTGCACCTAAAACCGTCCGTCAAATGGAGGGAAGGACCATTATACGGATTGCAGATGGATGCCACACCCCCGCAATTCCAACCTCCTCGGTGCTCCAACGTCAGTGCGGGACAGCACATGACGCCAGTGACTGTGATTAAATGTAATTGAATATAGGAATGAATTTCCAACCTCCTCGGTGCTCCAACGTCAGTGCAGGACAGCACATGACGCCAATGACTGATTAAATGTAATTGAATATAGGAATGAATGGTGCCTGGGTAATGCCATTAGCGAGCATGCCTGTTCAGGAGCCCCCACCCACGACTCCCCAACCGGTCTCACGGGCTCGTCGGGAGGGCGGGAGGAAAGCAACAGAACGGGTAGAGGCGAGTGGGTTGTTGGGGGCGGGGGGCAGGAACAATGGAGACATCAGGCTGTTTAGCAGCTTAGCGTAGGCATACGCTAGCCATTTTCAAACCGGTGATCTCAGCTGGATTGAGTCAGATCATCAGACTTGCCTCGGGAAATTATCTCATTTAATTTAATGGGTCTAAAAAGTATTATGTAATTTCTAAATATATTGGACATTTGTTCATCTATCTATGCCAGTGACACATAGTGACAGGCAGAAATGTTAAATACGCTTCCGCAAGATGCAGTGGTGGGAAGCATTGCAGTACAAATACTGCGTTACTATGTTTTAGATATCTTGAATTGACTTGAGTATTTCTTTTTTTGACTTCTTGCTTTTAATCCCTACATTTGAAAACAGATGTCTGTACTTTGTTAAAATAGTCTTGTTACTTCTTTAAAACTTCTGTGGATGAAAAATCTGAGAAAATGTGTACGTATCGAAGTAACTTGAGATACTACTACTCCTACTGCATGTGATTTTTAATGAGTAAAAGAGCATCATCGTATAATAACATATTTTAGAAGATGTAAAGTAATAATCAGAATGTCAAGAATGAAACAGTTTGTGAGACATGATAAATTAATTGTGGCTCTTTCTGGAATGTGCGATTTGGCCACCAGGGGGCAATATGATGCTGCCATGCAGAAACAAAGAAAAGTTGCGCAACTGTTGTGGGTTATTTAACTTATTAATATGACTTGTTTTTCGCAGAGGATCAATATATATCGGTGAGTATTGTTATATTGGTGGTGTGTTGTCTCTTCAAATACGTGTTGAGGTTATTAAATAAACAGACAACCAAAAACATGTTCTTCATTAGCCTTTCTGTGCCATTTCTTAAGCTAGCACTCTCTGGCAAAGTTATGTGGTTATAATCAATACAAAAATGTCCAATTCTCTTTGTTTTATGTTTAGTGTGAATAAACTTCAACTGGCACTGGCAATGGACCGCATGAAGCCTCTTTTTCGAAGAATCGTTTGCTATCTACCAAACTGCTGCTTGTTGTCAAGTGAGTTAAACTGAATTCAATGCAGCCAAACTATAATGTGAGATCTGCTTTAACCAGAGTATTTTTTTTTCCACAAAAGTACAGCATCTATACTTCAACTTAAGTCCAGATTCTTGTAAGGACCCTTCCTCTCACACAGCCTAAAAAACAAAATCCCAACAAAGCCACCATAATAATTTTAATGTCAGGCACCACCTGAAGGTACACAAGAAGTGGGTGCGCCACAATTTTAGAATCGCCACCAAAACATAATTTCCTCTGCCTAGGTTATGTTGTGTTTACTGTTATCCCCAGATTTCACTATAACAACAATTCCCCAGTTTCACCCCCTCCCCATTTTCCTTCATATCCCAGGCACGAATGTAGCTCAGGAGGAGTTTTAGTTTCTCCATGAAGCTGCACATGCTGATTTAAAAGGTCTATGCTGGAGATGTCCTTTAAAGGATCCTGTTTTCCCACACGTGAACGTAAACAATCCCGAGCGCCACTCCCACAAGGTCAAAGTGGGGCGATCAAAGTGAACGTTTGTAAGGGGTGTTGACCATTTTGTTGATAGTGTGATGCATGGCAACCACGCTAAACACATGCTGGGAGGCGCTCGCACGCCAAGTCATTTATCTTTGTGAGGGATGTGTTCCCAAGCCCAGCCACATGCTCTGCATAATAAGCTGGCAGACACGCTTTGGGTTTTCTTTTATTTTTTGAAGTCTTGTTGATCAACTATGACAAACTCGTTTTGTAGCCTTTTTTTTCGGACCATGGACAACTACTACACTATTGTTTTCTTCTGAAAATTATTTTGAATTGCTTTGCATTTGTATACCTACATTCCATTGAAACAATTTTATCAGTCACCTCACTGACACCATTTTTCTGCATTTCGTCTGCCGTGGAAAAGGTTTGGACATTCCTGCTGTAAATTGTCTATCGGCGTGAATATGAGTGGTCTGGTTACCAGTCCAGGGTGTACCCTGCCTCTCTGCCAAAGTTAATTTGGATAGTCATGATGTGGGGTCCCTCAGGGGTCAATCCATGTACCCCGTTTGTTCAGCCTGTATATGCTTTATTTAGGTCAAATTCTTCAGAATGGCGACGTTGGCTATCAGTGCGATGCAGATAACGCGCTTCTATATCTAGCAATGTCCCCAAATGACATGAATCAATTCGTGGCTTGTGTCACTGTCTAAAGCAAATTCATAACTGATGAATGAACCAAATGTTGTCTAAACCAAAACAAAACTGAGGTAATTTTGTTGGCAAAATAGAAAACAGGAGTTCTGAGTAACTATCTTTAAAAACCAAAGACCAAGTCTGAAACAAAAAAAAAACCATTCAGACGGAAGGTTTACATGCTCAGAGCAGACCGGGATAAGCTTATTCATGCTTGTATCTCCACAAGAATTGATTATTGTCATGCTCCTCTGACTGGACTCCTTCAAAAGAGCATCAAACAGCTGCAGCTCATTCAGAGCGCTGCGACTCGGATTGTGACCAGAACAAAGAGATCAGAACCAATTAGTACAGTCCTACGGGATTTACACTGGCTCCCAATTAGCTGTTGAATAGACTTTCTAGAAGTTTCACTACTGGTCTATAATTCACTGAATGGTTTAGGATCGAGGGATTGAGTGACAACAGAAGGGGCACAACAACAGCCTTACCACCAATAATGATTGTGCCTGCTACCTTCATGACAAAAGCTAAAGAAAATGAATGGATGGATGAATGAATTGGATTTTGGAGCAGAAGGGCATTGAAAGTGACTCTGAACTCACCCTGACGATATAGGAGGCTCCCGGTCCTGCAATCTTCTTGTCCGGGTGCAGCCATCCTTGGGAAGGCTTGTGGATGAAGCTGCCTTTCTGGCTGAAATCCTCCCCGCTCTGCCATATGCCCTCCACCCTCATCCTACGACTCATTCCTGATCTGGAACTTCCACCGCCGGAACCCCCGGGGCTCGCCGTGACCTCCCCCAACCCGTGGCCGGACTGTGCCGCCGCTCTCTGCCCCCGAATGGCCTGCAGAGAACACGGGGTGACACACACCGGGTCACAGGAGTTGAGCACAGCAGCCAGACTGGCCACGGGGCCGCTGGCCGGCGGCGCTCCGCTGTGCCTCTGCGACGTCGACGAAGAGGAGGACGAGGAAGGGGACCCTTGGTGGGCAGCTTTGCTTGAGTCCTTGCTGGAGCTGGAGCTGGAGCTGGAGCTGGAGTTGATGTCACTTCGGCTGAGCAAGGAGTTGGAGAACTTCCACTGCGGCATCTTGGGGATGAGCATGCAGAAGGTGGTGGTGCCATCCTGGTCCCCATCCAGGCAGGGTGAGTCTGCCAGAGCCGCGGCTCCAGAGGACCTTGCGCCGGAGTCCAAGGGGGGCAGGGGGAGGCCGCGGGCTGAGGATGGCACCACCGGGGTGGCCACAACTTTGCCGCTCATGGCTAAGCTCTGCATCAGGTCATCGGAGGAGGAAGTCACGGACTCGTTGCGAAAGCGGTCATACTTTGGCTTAAGGAGCATGCCCGGAGGATCCACCTGAAGAAGCTCAATGTTGGGGATGGGGAGGGAGAGGGGAGAGGGAGAGGGAGAGGGAAGGGAGGGGAGGGGGAAACAGGAGAATCTTCCAGGCGGAGTCTTATATCCAATTCGGTGGGAGTGATCCCGTTCCGCACGCACACCTCGCCGATGTCACGCCGCTCCTTGGTCCTGTGTGTGTATGAGCAGCCGCCCTCCTTCCTCACACTGCCCTGGGCCGGCAATCTTGTATTGCGTCGGGTGCTCTCCCTCCCTCGTTCTCTTTCTGCAGATGATGTCATTGGCTCTTTTCGCCCTGCCCTGCCCATGCTCTTTGACAGCATTAGCTAATCACATCTGTCTCTTGGCCACACGCACGCACACACGCTCATGAGCTCTTCACACGCTTCCTCGCTCGCTCACTCTCACACTCACGCGCATGCACACATTCACTCAATGAGTCACACACACAATACACGTACACTCATTTGCAAATACTGACACACGCACACAAAGTTGCACCAATTCATGCACACACGCACACTCACCCACGTCAAAGCTTATTGTGTCAAATAATTACATTTTCCATTAAACGGAGTTTCATTACAAAGCCTCCCATTTCATTTTATGTAATCGACTCACCTCCCTAATTTGTGTTATTTTGCCTATTTGCATTGGTGTAACTCCAGCCTTAACTGAACATGCAGGTGCACAGAACAAAGGGAAACGTCAGTACTACAACTTTTAAGTCATCTCATTAAGTGTTCCAGTGATCGCAGAGCTGCGAGTCTTGACTAGATTTGGATTCGTGTGTTCAAGACTCACAAACTTACAGCTGGCAATAAGCTTGTGAAGTAAAAATAAACATCAAATCAGAAATGAATTTTGGATGATGCCAGCATGCAAAATAAACAAAGATCCACAGGTTCGAGAGTATTTCCAATGTCATTCACTTGCGTTGCACACACACAAAAAAATAATAATCATGTCGATTATTTATCACTCAAAGAGCATTTTAGTTCATTTTCCTAATCATGAAGTCAAATCAAAGTCAATGACAACATTTTCTCATCGTGTCAAATCGGATCATCATCATTTCAATTCAATTGTCAGTGAAACAACTAGAAATGACATCATGGAATTCTTTACTTCTTACCTTTTCGTCTAAAGCGGTGTGGAAAATGAGGGTGGGGAATCACATTCAGTTAACTTCATCCAACGTCAGCTTAGCGATAAAAGAACAATGTAATATTACCACATTAGAACAAATTATGCACTTGCAAAAATTTTTTTTTTAAAAAAGGTGCCCCACCCTCTATAAAACAGCCAATCACAAGTTTGTTTGTCTTAGTGTGGAAGAAGTTACTAATAAACCAGATGGAATCAATAGTTGTTCAGCGATGACACTTTTTTATGCCTTATAAATGACAAGATGAAGAAAACGCCCCGCCATTATAATAAAATAAAGCGTGCTAAGAAACATCACGAAATGAAAAGAGCTAATAAGTCACCTCCTAACTGTGCTACTGTGTGTTCACAAATCCGACTGTGAATGCTGCAGTGCTCATTAGATTGCACAAGTGTGGCTACGTTGTGGCTAATGTTCAATCGGAAACAGTGACGACCAGTGGAGTGATATACTCAGAGTGCCTAATGCCCATGGAGAAGGCTGGGGCCCGACTTTTGTGCACTGTTACTCTTTCTGGGTTATAAGATCCAGGTCCAGGTGTCTCCATGTCTTCCGTGGGTACTCCGTGTCGCCCCAACATGGAAAAAGCAGGCGGCCTGCGTAGATAAACGCTGGGGTGTGTGCTGTTATATCTACAAGGACCCGGCGTCTTGGCGAGGTCTACGGACGGTCCGCCTTGGCTGAAACAAGCCGACATTGTGTAGCTGGCGCCGGCCGGCTTGTTTGGGATGTGAGAGCCCATGAGTGGAGGGAGAGTGTACTTGTTGGGAGAGGGCACGGCGTCGGTGGTGCGGTAACGCGTGCGGCGGCCCATGGTGAAGGAAGGGGGTCGGCGCTGGAGGTTGCAGGTCGAAGCTTTTTCTGGGCTATAGGTCCCCGGTCCAGGGGTGTGGAAGGGCTCCTCTATAGGGGGAAAGATTAAAAAAAATATATGGTCAAGTCCGGCTGGGTAATGAATTGAGATTTAATCGTGATTTCCATTTTGGCTTCTCCCAATTAAAAAACATGATAATCAAAGAAAAATGATGAAAATACTAAGCGAAGCTCTGTATAGGCAAGTTCCCAATGCGGATGTACCCTGAATGCACCACTTGCATGGCAAGCGTTTCAATTTATATGATTCTGCCATCCGTGGGCCTGTTTTGAAACTGTCACACCAGTTGGGAGTTTATTCTGAAACTAAACACAAAACAACAAGATTTACACACATTGAATAGTCAAATACAAGACATACTTAAGTTGAAAAATGTTGTCAGGGCCAATGCTGAAGTCAGTGTAAAATCCGGGGGCGATATTTCTTCAAATAAACAATATTCAGGGACAAACGCTGTAAGAACATTAAGTTAATAGAGCTCAAGCGCGACTCTCTTCTTCTTCTCTCATCCAATGTGTTAACGTAATGCGTGCATGTCGCCACAGTGCCTCTAAGAGGCCAATCCGCGCACAGCAGGAACAGACACGTTATTGTTTTGTATTGCTGTAATTTTAATATACAGTATACTAATTCTACTTTGTTCCTCATTTTAATATTTCTTCAAATAACCAATATTCAGGCACAAACACTGTGGGAGCATTATATTAATAGAGACCCATCTTCGTCTTCCCCTCTTTTCCAATGTGTACGGCATGCATGCTTGCATGTCGCCACACTGCCCCGAAGAGGCCAATCTGCGCACAGCAGGAACAGACACCATTGTTTTTTATTGCTGAAATTTAAATACTGGATATTCTAATTCTACTTTTGTTACTAATTTGTTTTCTGGTCATTTTTTAAATTTATATTTGAAGTTGAGTTTATAAGGATTGAAGGGATTTTTATTGTGGTACTAATAGACATTTCCACATGGTAAACATGTTTATTTATATAGCGCTCACTCTGCACATAAATTGTGAGCTTACAAAAAAAAACAAACAAAAAAAAAAACTGCTGTAGAAATATAACGTAAATAAGTTGTGTCCCAAAAGTCACGACGCACTACCTTTTTTTCCATTTCGTTTTGGGTTTCTGCAGTCAGGGACAGAAAATTGACAAGCAATTTTGCGTCACTGCTCCATTGACACTGGGCGAGCCGCGGGCAAGGAAAAGATATGCAAAGATAGACATGCAAAGTCGAAGATGGCAAATTATGATGGCCTCACAGCTGTCAGAACACCCCGAACGAAATCGAAAAAAGGTATCGTAACTTTCGAGCCACCCGGATTCATATTTTTTTACTTTAAAACAAGTCAACAATTTACAACTATTTCAAAGTTAAATATACATGTCAACCATTAACTAGATTTACTACTTTTTTTGTCTTTTATGATTACATTTCACTGTGTTTGACAGTAGTCACCCTTGCAAAAAAAAAAAAAAAAAAACAATAAATGCCGTGAAATGATGATGGGTGCTTTGAATACGAAAATGGTGCCATCTGGTGGACAAACATAAAAATAGTGAGTTTGGAACACGGACATGAAAGACACAAGCATAAAAAAAAAATGTCAATCTTAACGTTAAGGATTGCATTGTTTTCCTTTGTTGAAAATTGACTTAAAAAAAGATACATTTAGAATGTTAAAGATCATCACCTACTTTTTACTTTAGTTCTGCCCAACATGGAGTATGCAGGCGTGCCGTCTCTCCCGAAGTGAGTCATCTTCGCATCGACGTGGTACTGAGGTCCCGGACTGCAGTCAACACAATACACTGCACACAAAAACAAACATCAAACACAAGACTCCACTTGAAAAAGAATCCTTTAGACGTTAATGTACGTTGATGTGTTGCAGTTCACTTAGATTGAGCCCCATGTTTGCACGATGCAGTTCACACTCCAAACTACAGTACATAACCACAATAGATAAATTGTGAAATGACAACAATATGTTTTTCATGACTGTCGGTGTAGTTTTTTTCCGTGCATGATTATAGGATTTTGTTTTGGATTTCATTCAACATTGGATACTAAGCATTATAATTGTTATTTGAAGGGAGGTAGAAGGGAGGCTTACTCTTGTCACTCATCCTGCCGTGGAAGGAGTATGCGGGGCTTGTTTGCTTCGTTAAGTCGTGGCCAATAAAGCCAATGGTAGGGGGTAGCCCGTATTGCCCTGGGCCGGGTCCTATGTAGACACAGTGAAGCAAATTGAAACAGATTATTGTTTTATATTATTATATTAAAAATATGAATCATGCCGCTTTGTTCAGCTATCTATGCCACTAACGTATAATGCCAGACAGGACTCTTCCATCAGACGGCAGAAAGAAACTGATGGAATTGTGTATGCACTCATATTTAATGCACAATCAAAAAAAGGTGTATGTAACTAAGATAAATATATTCCAGTCCTTTTAACTTATCAAAAACATAAATTGAAAATGGTTGAACTCACCTTTCTCTCTGCCTGCAATAGCCGGGTACCGTTTCTCCATCGCTCTCTTTAAAAATTACGCCTCTCAAAAATATGGCTTGTCACCGTGAACTTTCCAAAAGGTCAGCACTGAAGAAGACCCCCGTTGCTCATCAGCCTACGCAGGTGAGGAGCCCCTCCTTCCATCTCCTACCTGCCATTGCAACGCTATCTCTCTCGCTCTTTCTCTTCACCTGGCAAACCACAAAGCTCCCTCCCGCCTTTCCACTTTCCACTCATGTAATATCACTCATCAGCCATGCGTGTGGTCACCACGGAGACCGCTCGGGGCTTATCTCTCAGCCCCCTGCAGTGAATGGATACGCCGCATTCCAAAAGGAAGAGGCATGACATGGATGACAATGTCAAGCCCCAAGGGGCCAGATCTGACCCTGCGTGATGCTTGTCACAACATTTCCTAGCCTTCTATTTAAAAGTCAAGAGTTCTCCATGACAGCTGAGCAATTAATCAATGCAGGAGCATGCAATTTTCAAATACATAAACATTACCAACTCTAACTGAAGTACATAAAAAATGCTGTTTATCTATTATTCATAGTTCACTTGCCTTTATTTTTGCATAAGCTTAACCTAACCTAAAACCCAAATATTTATGTATAATAAATGTGCTAATTGTTTATGTAGTTTGTAATACAGATTAATGCATTGCTTGTGTTTGTTAAAAAAAAAAAAAGCGTGTGCCAAATCATGACCTTCAAACGAAGGTCAGTACCGAACCAGATTTTTTTGGGGCATAATATTTACAGCCCGTCTAGTTTGTGCGCTTTAGCATACTTCAACTAGCAACCTTTTGGTATGTCATATAAATACGGCAATGGTGTCATGAAAATTTTCTGCTTCTGCGCCCTCCAGTGACCCTCGCCGTTTTGCAGATTTGATGGCCACCGTAACCGAGAGGCTTGACAAGTGACATACGAAGAAAACAAGCATTAATCTTTAACAGGCTGCCGGCCACTTCTGAGTTGGGAACCCGAAACGCTTGTTTGCAGTGTATAACTGATGTACACATATGCACACGTTGAGAAAAAAAGTGGAAATAAGATGGCCCTGAAGTAGGAATGGAATGCACCGTAGGCTAAAGCAGAGAGGAAATGGTCTGCATGCTGCAGACCACTCAAAGGAAATAGAAATGCGTCCGGTGTCCAAGTAGTCTGTCACTACACTAGGTCACAATTACAGTAAATATCTGAATTTAAAAAACATTTGTTAATCATAAATATAAAACAACCAGTACATTGACTACGTGTTCTGACGCCGCGTACCGTTAATGAAAGACCCTTGCACGTTCATCAAGGAATAATCAAAATACCGTTTCCTACTGTTTGTTTTAAGGATCAGCTAGGTGGTGCTAACGATTATGAACGGATTTCAACCGCCACAAACATCCCACCAAAGAAGAAGAAAGCATGACGTCGTTGAGATCGACAATTCCGATTGGCTTTCAATTGGCTGCATTTTGAGCGTCATGTCGTCTCGACCAATCGGACGAATGCGCGGACGCGAACGTTACTTTTTGAACCTGATATATATATAAATATTGAGCTCACGAACCCAACCTTCCAGACTGCGGCAATTGAAACTTGGGGTTTTACACTTGTCGCTATTTTGTCAACGAACGACTTGACCTATTTGTTGGTCGGCGGCTAAAACATTTGTATTTACTCCTTCCCTATTTTTTTTCTCTTCATTCCGCCTTGCCTGCTGAAGTAAAAATGTCGAAGAAGGATATTTACTACTCTGACAAATACAACGACGACGCCTTCGAGTACAGGTAAACGGGCAACTATATGAATTGTTCAGTTGTTTAACTTTTCTACATTACTTAATCGTTGTTAGTTATACAACAATGCGTTTACACCAACTGACATTGAAATTAGTGTCGGTTTTGTTAGCAATGTCGTCGTCTGAACGTGAGCTAACACTTTAGAACCGTCCAAACGTGAAATGGTCTTTTTTTGTGTGTGTGTTCCGTTAGGCATGTGATGTTACCGAAGCAGCTGTCCAAACTGGTGCCCGCTTCACACCTCATGTCCGAAGAGGAGTGGCGGGGCCTCGGCGTGCAGCAGAGCCAAGGATGGATACATTACATGATCCACAAACCAGGCGAGTCATCCGCAAGAGCACACGCCCACCATTTTGTCGGTTCAAGACCTTAACTGACATTCCCGGGGCACTTGGTGTCATTCGTATTTTTGTGTTTCTCTCGAGCAATATTTGGTAGTGATGTCCAAATGACGCTTTCCATTCAGTTGGTTCACAAAACAGCGATTTCTCAAAGCTTCATGATTAGCTAATAGTGGGGATTGACTGTACAGTACAGTAAATAAACAGATTGATGCATCTCTGTTTTTAAAATCGGCGATAGTCTCCAAAATCCTGATTGTGAAAGCCTTAATTACATGTAAACATGCGGACTGCACTTCTCAAGCACCGAATATGTATCATTGCGACGTCTATTTCAATGCAATTTGTCAGCCCTAATACAGGTATAATGTGTGAGATTTTATTAGTTTTTTTTTGGGGGGGGGCACTCTAGCATACATGGGAAATCATTTTCTTCATAAGTCACTAGTTACATAGTTTGTCTATAACTTTGTAAATTCCTTCCTGGATTTCTCAACAAAATACTTCCATGCTTTAGCACAATTTGTTCCATCACTAATTTTGGGGTCAAATTTCAGGATGTTCGTTTTTATGCATGCAGATGTTCGTCTCACCTTGGCACTTAATCCACCTCCTGATAGTGATACCACAACTATTTTGTCACAATTATACTCGGAACCAGATACTATACGAAAACACAAGATAACAGCATGCAACTGTGCCGCGTACATCATCAGGAGCAGTTCCGAAACAATATTGGTCTATTAATGTCACAAAAAGATGGTCAAAATATAAATAAGTCATAATCATCAGGGATGCTGATTATTAAGTCTTACATGTGTACAGATGCCTTTTGCAAGTCAAAGATGTTTACGTTTGGCTTTGATCAACCGATCAGAGGATGTCATCAAAGGCCAATCCTGACCAAGTCAGGGTCAATTTGAAGTCTGATGAGTCCCATTGCTAATGTACACTAGTTGAGGTTACATCAGCCAGCACAACTGATTTCAAAGAGCATGGGCAGATTAGATTGGCATGGCAACACAAGGGTTGAAATCTGATTGGACAAAAAAAAAAAAAAAAACGTGTTGTCTGTTACAAATGAGTGGTGATTATTTAAAGGACTCTAGGTGTAGAAATGTATTTTTAATTAGTTTGTCTTTTCCTGCACAGAGCCTCACATCCTGCTGTTCCGAAGACCGCTCTCCAAGCACTCTGATGTGTTACGTCGCTGATCTGCCATTTTGTGTTTTCTCTACACTTGTAGTTCAATGTCCACTTTAATTCCATCGTATTTATACAAAGAGAACAAACCCCGACCTGGTACAATTGTCCTCTTTCAAATTTCATCCCTTTGAAGTGAAAAGACCCGATTAGCCAAGTGAAGCCTAGGTTGTATATTTGAAGACACTATTTTTTTTTAACTGATGGTTTATATACCACGTTGTGGTACTTTTTTTTATGCTTTATCTGTTAAGTGTACTTTCATTGTATTCCAGATTGTAAATATTTTCTCGTCATTGTTCTTCACCATCCCCCAAATGTTTGCAATTTGTTGTTGAAGAAATTAAAATGTTGCAAATGAAAACATGCCTCATCATTACTTGGTTTATTTTGACTTTAGCGGGCTAGGGGATGGACAGTTTAAGCATCACTCCCAAGTCCAGATGGCAACGGTTCACTTTAACAGAGTTCGGTTACGACAGCTGGTGCTGTTCAAAACACATGACTAATAATTTGTTGCCATGGAGGCCTGTAAACAAGATGAGGTTTTTTTTTTTGTTGTTTAAACCAAAAATTAAACAAGATGAACAGATGGACTTTTTTTGGCATTAAGAGGCAGTTGAAATGGTGCCTCTTGTTAATGTCAGGTATGCCAGCTCCTGTTTTATTTTCATTAAACCGTTTTGGAATGATTGATCTTGGTGTCATTTTATCACAAAATGTGGGTGTGTAAACTTTTTATATTCACTCTATTCAGCAATTCTAAGAATATTTGTGGGTTATTATTCACAAATTCACCTAATTGTCTTTTTCTTTTCCTGTGCAACCTACAGTACCGGGCTGGCTCCTATCCAATTTTTCCTGTTCTTTCTGCAATGCTACAAGATGCCACAAGAGGGCACTAAATCCACACGATTACGGCAACCTTTGTAACTCGGAATGAACGACTGTAAATTTAGTCTGGTTTGTCAAACTAATAAATTTTCACCACATTGACAGTCTACCTCAAAATAAATGAACACAAATTTGGCTAACTGATGCCCATCAAGAGGTTCAGGGACCAGGCTGACCTAAAACACATTTCGTAGGCCTTAGGGAAGACAATTACTTCGAGCTTCTCCCGAACTACCTTACCCCTTCCTTCTCCTGTGATTCTTGCTGCTGGGCCCCAGGTTTTCCAAGGACATCTCCATGGATCGAATCGAGCCGTCGTGTTCAGGAGCAGGGGGGAGTGAGGCCACAGAGTCACTCACACTCTCTCTCATAGACAAACACACACAAAGACGTCCCTATATGTACACAACACAATGCATAAATTACATTATTGTCAGTGCGTCCAGCCGGCCGACTACAACTGCCCCACCCCCTTTGCAGTAATGTAACACATATGAGCACCAAAAAAAGCCAAAACAAGTGAGAACGAGTCCTGGCAAGCCTTTTCGAAGCAAATTTTACAGTCTTGCATGAAGGCAAAAAAAATGAGTGACAGCATTTCATCATCTCGGCTTGACGGAGATCACCTAATCACAGGATTGAAGACGGATGCTGGGGTCAACCCGAGTGCGGCACACCTGGGAAAGTCGCAGCCCACACCTGCCGACCAGGAGCAGGCCCCACTGATCTTGTCGTACACACACAGCTGGCTATCCAACCTCACTCCATCTCTCACACACACACACACACACACACACACACACACACACACACACACACACACACACGTACAGCTCCAAACAACTTGGTTAGCGACAAAATTGGGATTTGATGTAGATATGAATTACAGTGGGTTTCAAAAGTCTACACCCCCCGTTCAAATGGCAGGTTTTGTGACACACACACACACACACACACACACACACACACACACGCACACGCACACACACACACACACGCACACGCACACGTTAATGTTATTGGTGCCAATGCACCAAACAGAAGCTCAGAGTACCCACCCTTTTGGGAGTCCTTGGAGGAGGATGTGCTGGAGCGCGCTCCCGCTGGGGACTCCCTCGTTTTGCTGGGGGAGACTTAAATGTTCCCGTGGGTAATGACAGTGAGACCCGGAAGGGCGTGATTGGAAGGAACAGCCGCCCCGTCAGAAATTGAGTGCTGTTCAGTTGTTGGGGTTCTGTGGTCGTGACGGATTGTCCATAACGAACACCATGTTCAAAGATAAGGGGCGTCCATTTATGGACTTGGCACAAGGACACCCTTGGTCGCCGTAGGATCATTGACTTTGTAGTCGTATCATCGGATTTGCGGCCGCATGTTTTGGACACTCGGGGTGAAGAGAGGGGTGGAGCTATCACGGGTTGGGATGTTGAGGGGCTGTCTTGGTTGACACGCCGGAGAGATTATGTTTCCGGGGTGTCCTGGGAATGTCTTGGGTTCCCCCGGGAAGAGCTGGAAAAAATTGGCTTGGAAGAGGGAAGTCTGCACTTCCCTGCTAAAGCGGCCGGCCCCACGGGGGAGCATGGATGGATGGTTTTTACCCACCCTGAAATATAAATTTAAAATGCAATTAAAAAAAAAAAAAAACATTCAAGTATTTTATCTTTATTAAATACTTTTAATACATTACAAGGAATATTTGATCATTATTCTTGACCCCCGAAATGGAGAAAAATGTCAATACCGGTATATAATTTTTACAGCAGTATTTGGGGAGCGTGACATTTCATCGAAACGACAGATTATTATTATTTTTTTTTAGGGTTACAATAAACCAAACCAGGCATACAAATAAAAAATATAAGATGAGCTATGAAATCAACGAGGGGAAATGACATCAATGTATACACTTTTTTTTTAAGTTTCTTTATTTAAAAATGTCAGTGTTTGATATAGGTTAAGCGTCATCTAATTTGGAACATTTACAGCAATTGCGGGAAAAAAAAAAAGAATTCTCAATTTGTTTCTTGGATTGCTTCATAAATGAAAATGTAACCTAAACAAAATAGCTTATGAACTGTACAATCAAATCTCAAGGCGGGTGGAAAGCAGAGGAAGTTATCTCGGAGTGTCCTGGTGTGAGTCCGTTTGAGAAAACTAAAACAAACAAACACCGCGCGTGGGCTCGAGTCCACCAGGGACTCGCGGTTGCCTATCAGTCCACCTTTGTCCTGACGGAATTTGAATCTCTTTGCTGTGCGGCTTCATTTCAGCTTATGTACTGTATCTGTAAAGAAGGGATTTTCCCAAACTGAGTCCAATGTTTATTTTTGGCACACAATTTCTCAGATTTTTTCCAATCCATTTATTTTTTTATAATTGTATTAATTTCATGTATTCTGTATATATATATGTACTGCAGTAAGTTTGGGAGACCCGACTGTCAAGCACGACTTGTTTTTCAGTAAACATTCCAATGAATGTATTGAAGGAGGCATATTATGTTTTTTTTTTAAACAATAAACATTTCTCAGAGGTCCCCATATCATTGTTCTGCCAAAAAGATAAGGGGCGTCCATTTATGGACTTGGCACAAGGACACCCTTGGTCGCCGTAGGATCATTGACTTTGTAGTCGTATCATCGGATTTGCGGCCGCATGTTTTGGACACTCGGGGTGAAGAGAGGGGTGGAGCTATCACGGGTTGGGATGTTGAGGGGCTGTCTTGGTTGACACGCCGGAGAGATTATGTTTCCGGGGTGTCCTGGGAATGTCTTGGGTTCCCCCGGGAAGAGCTGGAAAAAATTGGCTTGGAAGAGGGAATTCTGCCCTTCCCTGCTAAAGCGGCCGGCCCCACGGGGGAGCATGGATGGATGGTTTTTACCCACCCTGAAATATAAATTTAAAATGCAATTAAAAAAAAAAAAAACATTCAAGTATTTTATCTTTATTAAATACTTTTAATACATTACAAGGAATATTTGATCATTATTCTTGACCCCCGAAATGGAGAAAAATGTCAATACCGGTATATAATTTTTACAGCAGTATTTGGGGAGCGTGACATTTCATCGAAACGACAGATTATTATTATTTTTTTTTAGGGTTACAATAAACCAAACCAGGCATACAAATAAAAAATATAAGATGAGCTATGAAATCAACGAGGGGAAATGACATCAATGTATACACTTTTTTTTTAAGTTTCTTTATTTAAAAATGTCAGTGTTTGATATAGGTTAAGCGTCATCTAATTTGGAACATTTACAGCAATTGCGGGAAAAAAAAAAAGAATTCTCAATTTGTTTCTTGGATTGCTTCATAAATGAAAATGTAACCTAAACAAAATAGCTTATGAACTGTACAATCAAATCTCAAGGCGGGTGGAAAGCAGAGGAAGTTATCTCGGAGTGTCCTGGTGTGAGTCCGTTTGAGAAAACTAAAACAAACAAACACCGCGCGTGGGCTCGAGTCCACCAGGGACTCGCGGTTGCCTATCAGTCCACCTTTGTCCTGACGGAATTTGAATCTCTTTGCTGTGCGGCTTCATTTCAGCTTATGTACTGTATCTGTAAAGAAGGGATTTTCCCAAACTGAGTCCAATGTTTATTTTTGGCACACAATTTCTCAGATTTTTTCCAATCCATTTATTTTTTTATAATTGTATTAATTTCATGTATTCTGTATATATATATGTACTGCAGTAAGTTTGGGAGACCCGACTGTCAAGCACGACTTGTTTTTCAGTAAACATTCCAATGAATGTATTGAAGGAGGCATATTATGTTTTTTTTTTAAACAATAAACATTTATCAGAGGTCTCCATATCATTGTTCTGCCAAAATACTCAAATTCTAACGTCCAGGGGCAGAGCTAGGGGGGGTTGTGAAGTGGTGAGTGGCTACTACTAGCCCAGTCTGGAAAGTGAAAAAGAGTGAGCGGCTCCAAACATAATGAAAGCATGGATTATATTTTTACATCGACAATTTAGCTTTTCAGAATCTTAACCCCGTTACTTTAAAATAATCCATGCATCCAACAACACTTTTGACTTTGGCAAATTAGCACCTTTAGATTTCCACGCCCAGGCTACGTGCCAATTCATGAGCGGACAAACTCGGCCTGGGGGGTCGGTATGATGTAAATTAGCCGCATTGTTACATCATAAACCCCAAAAATTTCAAACAGCCCAAAATAGATTTTCCTTGGTTGTGTAATTTCATACTTAATGGGTGGGACGGCTCTCTGGAGACTATTTGGATACAAACAATTCACAATTTAACGTTCCATAATATGTCCCCTCTTTAAGATGGCTATAAATTATTTCCAAAAAAACTGCACATTGAAGTGACTGGACCGTAACGTCATGTATGTATGGGCAATTACAAAAAATAATAATGATATGAGCGCTAGCTACAAATAAATACCACAGATAAAAATATAACACCATATCTTAAAGTCGGTTGTAATTACAAAAAAATCAAATATTTGATTTTTTTGTTGTTGTCGTCGTACGAGTGATTATAAAGGCAGTACGGTGAATAAAACAAAGAGCCGATGTTGATACGAGGAAGAGGAGAGCGAACAGACACATACTGTATATACACACACGCAGACATACACTCACAGACGAGCTCATGTTGCTTCCTTTGGGGCTTCTCTCTTCACTTTCCATTCGCTCGCATATTCACAAATAATGTACAAACTGGACGTTGGGTATGGCTTCACACCGGCATTTCTGCGGAGGACAGATGACAAGGACAGTGAGCCTAAAAAAGAATAAGGCAGTCATTCCCAACCACTGCTGTGAAAACATTTGGGGTGCCGCAGGAAATGATCCAATCTCACATCATTGATCCGAAAACAGTAGTGACAGGCAAAGCAATTACATTGTCTTCCACTAGGTGGCAGAAATTGCAATTGAACTGTGCCGAGACCTTTAAGAGACGAGTTTTGTGTTCCACGAAATAGGCCTAAATTTCAAATTTCCAGATTTGTAAGTAAACTGAGAGGATAGGAGTAGTTGCAATCAATGACCATATTTTCCGCACTATAAGGCGCACCGAAAAGCATGACATTTTCTCAAAGGCCTTATCATCCGATGTGCCTTATACGGGGTCAGGCAAAACGATCTGACACGTTTTAGATTAAATAAAAGGCAAATAAAGTAAAGAAACAAAAAAGTGTTGATGGCCTTATCATCCGATGTGCCTTATACGGGGTCAGGCAAAACGATCTGACACGTTTTAGATTAAATAAAAGGCAAATAAAGTAAAGAAACAAAAAAGTGTTGATTTTCGAAAAGTACATATCATGACTTTTTTTTGTATAAGGGGTCTTTCTTCGAAGCAGATAATGTTACAGTGACTGCGAACTCTGATTGCTAATTTTGAGATCCTAGAAACTTTTCTCAGACCAAAAATGAATATATTACAGACAACTTTCCTGAACACCTTCAACAGTGTGTGGACAAAAATGGATCCCATTTGACTGATTTAATTTTTAAAACATAATGAAACAGAACGGCATTATATGTACTTTTAGAAAATAAAAGCACTTTTTTGTTTCTTTACTGTATTTGCCTTTTATTTAACCTTTTATAGGAATAAAGCCGTATTGCATTGTATTGTATTGTCTTCCCTTGAGCATAGCTCCATCTAGTGGATGCATAACGCAACCGCAACTACTATTATAGCTTCTATTCATTCTATGCACCTTATGATGCGGTGCGTCCTAAATATGAAAACAGTTTTAAAATTGGTAATTCATTGAAGGTGCACCTTATCCTCCAAAGCGCCTTATAGTGCGGAAAATACGGTCACATTGATGCACAAAATATTGTATTCTTTCTTTCATTCTATTTCATTCTATTACTCTGTTTAGGTTAACCAGTACAACGGCTCATTAGCATTTCAATTCATTTCAACGGACAAAGAGGAGTTAACATCCACGTGTTCATGTTATGAATTGAACATGTATCTGAAGGCACCACTCATTTTGGTTTGGCCGTGCGCCATTATATTTTTTCCTCCTATAAAATGCTCGACTTTGCTCAATAACGGTCGGTAAACGCTGGAATAAGGGTCACAAGTGAGTACAGAGAGCACGGTACCATCGTTCCGGACTGTTCCTTGTGTTCGCTGTGGGCATTTGGGCGTCGGAGGGCAGGAGGAGCTTCTGTGGCGCGTCCGGGTCGGCTCGGGGGACGTCGAAACTGGGATCCTGCGCCCCGCCATCTGCCAGGAAAGGCGACGAGTCGGCGTCGTAATCGTAAGAGTAGTAGGAGACATCGGCCATCGAGCCCTGATCCTCCTCACCTGGACAAACAAAATTGAACATGGAACATGCAACCGGAAGTGAAATGTCGCAAATTCTCTCTCTCTCTCTCACACACACACACACACACACACACACACACTGCATGCTGATGCAAATAATTAGCCCAGGAATTTGCTATTGGGCGATTTTGTCCCATGTTTAATTTCTACTAAGCAACAAGTCTGAGAATCATTATTTTACTTACTGTAAACGATCTATATACCTGCATGTGTATATGAGACTGCGGGACAGCATTTTTGCGCAGTGTGTAGAGTTTGTGCTATGAAGACCTTTGACTGAGCGCAGCGACCTGAAGCCAACAAGTCGGCGCATGTTGCCTCACACTTACACGCGTACACACGTGTACAAGTTGCACATTGCAAATATTCACCTCGTCATCTGCACACACATCTGCAGTGTGTCACATCCAATGAAAGGTGTTTTTTTTTTTTTTGCCTCACCTGCCAAAATTAACATCAGCCTGCCAGGAATGCTCTGGAAGTCTCCGGCAGGTGCAAATGTAAAAATCGAGTTTGTCAATCGTCCTCCTCATCAGATTGTGAACATGACGTGACGGCAGGAGAATGTACAGCATGCATGCGCACACGACCTCCATATCAATTTTCCTCGTGAAATGCCATCATCCCTCTTTCTTGCATCTCTGTTTGAAAATCCCATGATACTCTTTTGAAATGAGTGTGTGCAGCCTTAAGCAGCAACGGCAGGACTGAGTCAATCTGTCTGGGTCATCCCATGCCCCCCCCCCCAAAAAAAAATCAATGGGAGCAGGGTGGTGGGGAGCTAACGCCCACCAGATTTTAATTTGTTTGATTTATATATAGACACACTGTACATATATAAGAGTGTGTGTGTTTGCTGAGATTACCTGTGTGGAGAGGCACTGAGGGTTGCTCAGTCTCCTGGCTCGCAATTGGCGGCTTGTCCTCTACCTTGGTCTCCACTTCAAACACACATACACACATGTACATATACACACAGACACACACACACAGGCACACACATTTGGTTAAAAGCATAGATTTCCTGATCGGTTGTCAAAACAACAGCGTTTCCTTGTTGCGCCATGAGCAGTAAATGGGAAGCAGAAGCTTTTTCATCCACCCCAAAACACATTTGAGCAAAATAATAAACTTCACTCAGTCCTGATGGGAGGCCAGCATTAAATTTGTTCTAAAAATAGCCCGACTGAGAGGTGGGCGGCACGATCATAAGTGGATCTGATTGTCTATTTCTCCTCCACAAAATTGGCAAATGAGCCTTACCGCGCATGAGCGTACACAAACAAACACCCCCCCCCCCAAAAAAAGTGAATGTTTGTGGCGAATGAACTTCTTTCTTCCTCTTCAAAGTCTTGTTTTCCGCACTCGTGAAAGCTCCTTTTGTTGTTGAGCTGTGCGTCGGAAAAGGAATGCGACGAGGATTTCAAAGAGCGTGGACAAAAGCAGTCTGTCATTTGCACAGAGCTCTCTCTAATACAGCGCAGGGTCAGCGAGAAGGGGGGTGGCGGGGGTCGGGGGGCGTGTTTGCGCGTGTGTCGAGTTGGGATCTGAAAAAGGGCGCGAGCAGAAAAATCCAGTAATCAGCTCAACCTCTGAGCAGCTGTTTCCACAACTGAGATCATTGCGCACACCAATGACAATTGACACACACACACACACACACACACACACACACACACACACACACACACCCACACACACACAAACACACACACCCACACACACATACACCAACACCCACCAACACTTAGAGTTAATTACATTTAGTGAGCACGACATAAACAGGCACACTCATACACCAATGACAGAACATTCAAAAAAAAAGTAACTAGCTTAACTAGCTTAGCTTAAATCAGTCATTGACTCCATTCCGGCACCAGAATGAAGTTGTTCACCATGTCTTTGTGGTGAATGTGTGTTTTTATGTTGTGTGTAGTTAGTTCGAAGCAAGTTACAGCCAGAAGTGAAAACACATTTCACTGTGACAAATACCATCAAGTGTTTGCTAGCAAATCACTGCGCAGCGTCTTAGCCTTCACAGAATCAAGAGGCAAAATAGATAGCTGTCACCGAACACTAAAACTACCTCCGTCCAAGTCTTTTTCATTCACCAACAAAAAATTTTCTACCTCTCCTACAATTTTGAGGTCTTTGCTTCCTTCAAAAAGTCACCGCTTCATTAGCTACCTTTGTTCGTGCAAATGGGAGACTCCACAAAAATCAAACCGCAGCAAGATCACAGACTGCACTCTGATGTTGAGCTTTTCAACAATAATACAATCAGCCTTCGTAATGATGATATTGTTCGCTCGTCAAGAGACAAAAACTGAGCCTTTCCGGGCAATGGCAATGATCCTTCATAAACCAAAGCTTTGTGCGCGGACAGAGTCAATATTTCCTTGTAAATTTTGTCCGCAAACTAAAATTGTTTGTGAACCAGTTGCGAGTGGCCAGACAAGTTGTTCAATAGAGCAACCTACTCACGACATTGACTACGCTGAGTGTACTTTTTCTTTTGTAAGCTAGCAGTGAACAAACCTATTATCGGCCCTTGCGAGAGTGCCACTGACTTGAAG